ACACGCCGGTGTCTTGAAAAGAAATTCATATCCTCCACTATTGACAATTCATCGTTGTACACATTTGCAGAATTTTCTTTTTTTCTTCTTTTTGCGCGTCAAAAGTTGGCCATATTCTCTCCAAAAATAATTATGCAGTATTGCCCTCAGGAATTGCTCAAACTCTACTCCTATTTTTAAATGCGGTCGATAATGCTGCTGTAATATTTTTTTCGAGGGATTAAAAATACAAAAAAACTGACCTTCGTGGACTTCTTCGTCCATGGTCCTCGAGCAGATGCCGTCGCTGAGACACGAGTAGTTGGGCCCGAGACCCAGGCACTGTTTATCAGACTTGCACAAAGCCACGGACTCGCAGAAACCCGGACAGTCACGCTTGCACTGACCTCCGTTGCAAACGAGGTCAGCGCGGATCAGAGCGCATTCCGCGTCGTTACTGCACTTGACGTAGCGCGTTTTGCCAGTCGTCAACGACGACGGCGCGTGGCGGTTATTGTTTCCGCCTCGGGTCGGACCCGACGAGGCCATGACGAAGCCACAGGCGAGAGCAGCTGTCGCCAACACCAGCATTGCTGCTATTTGCCTGCGCCGCGTCATTTTTTTTTGCCTGTTATTTCCCTTTCTCTTTTTTGTTTTGTTTCTTGCTTTAATTTTTTAAATCCTGATCGCCTGAATGGATGCGGGGGAAAAACTTTGAATGAGGGCTTTTGTTCAAGAAAAGAAAAACACTGTTGACGGTCGCGAAAGATTGCTATGGTTACGTAAATACAGTATACGAGAGAATTAAAAAAAGAAAGAAAAAAAAGCCGACGAGGTCGTGAGGCGTGGTGCGCGGTCAGTCGATCAGACGGAAACGCGTCGACTAAACTCATTACACGCCTGCTTGGGGTGTCGACCGTACCCCCTCACATTCCCGGTTAGCTATGATATCCCGAAATGAAAATAAAATAAATAAAACTAAGGAAAACCGAAAAACAATGCAGGAAAGGTTTTCATCTCTTCCACCGAAGGAAATCCCAGCACTGCGTTTTTGGCCGTTTGTATGTATATATTTTGCCTGTGGTGGTGTGGAGTGAGTCGCATGCATAAAGAAGGTGTCGCCTGCTAGGCGCGTTGGCACCGCCTGTCTCAGGCTCTGGTTTTTTTTTTTTTTGCGTTGTGTTTGCTTTTCTATGACTTTTGAAACCGAAAAATTCCGAATTATTTTGGGGATGCCTTTGATGGAGGATGAGAATGTCAGGGCGACATGAATTTCTTGCTTATTTTAAACAATTATTCAGTAATGGGTAACTGCATTTACAACAGCATAGGGAAATACCCTGTGAAAAAATATTCCACCTTTCTGCTTCTACTTGAGATATTCAAGTGAAAGCCACTGAATTTTGCTGTTGCTATAGCGCATGAAATACATTTGATGTGTGCTCTCCATTTTTGCATTTTTGCAATGCAAAAATAGTGAAAATCGAAATAACAAATTTCATAGTTAAAATAGGTAAGAAATCGAGATTTAGGAGTAAGTATTATTTTTTTGCTCAGAAAGCAGCTTATATGGGAAGATTACTTGCTTCTTTATGCCTGTGAGAAAACTGTCAATGCATGTCATGTATTGATGGAGCTTGGCTTTGGGAATCTTATACTGGTATAGAGCCATCGGTGCCAGGTGAGGATTCTTGAGCAAGTGAATTCCAAATGCTGCACAACAGCTTGGGTGTTGGATATTCAAAGCGTCCACTTGAGAAGCTTGTATGAATTATACAAGACTCTGTTGGAAAAAAATTCTGGTTCTACTACCTGAGGTATTGATTTACTCATTCAGTTTTTTGAAATATGACCTAGTGACCCGTTCTGCATAGAATACAAAAGATTATGGGAAGAACAGTTTCCTGAAGTCACAGTTCTGGTGCAGCTCAAGTTAAGTGTGGTTACTTGGCATGGGTATGGGTTCTCTACGTTTCCAGAAGTGGCTGGTGAGAAAGTTTATATGATATTTTATTGAATCCATTTTGTGGTGTGATTCTCTGTTTGATGTGGTGAACCTTCAAATCATAATTTTAAAAATATTCGCCTTGAATGATTGATTATTCATTTATTGTTCAAACTTATTTACGTGATTCCTGAAATTCCTGGAAAAATTGTGAATTCTGGGTCCTGCAAATTGTTGAATCATAAATAAAGTATTCTCAGATAATTTTAAAAGCTGAAAATCCAGCTTCCAATGATTCATCAACTCCTAGCTCAGAAAGCACCCAATAATTATTTTTTTGTTGGTATTGCATTTTTTGGTTCCTGAAATTTGGAAAACTAGTGTTCATTCAAGGCCTTCGTGGACCATTGAAGATGGAACCTTGACTCCTGGATTTTAAAAATTTGCACAGTAACCCAGAGGAGATTGACAGAATTCATCAGAGATGAGTCAAACTTTTTTTTTACATTTTCTGAATGTATTTAGCTATTTTAATGTAAAATTTGTGCCTCTAAAATTTGATGAAACTCAAATGCCACAATGGTTTGAAATTTTGACCTTACGCAGTTGAAGCAAAACCCTGTCTGGGTTTGTGGCATATTTTTACTTCTAATATTGAGCCTGGAGGTCCACAATTTTTCCATAATTGAAAATGTTAGAGAAGCCTATTAAAATAAATATATCCGTCTCAAATGATTTCTTCTGGCTGACAGTGCAAATGTGAAAAACCCCAATATAAACTATTGTATGGTACATTGTATTGGATTCAAAATTGCAATTTCTAGCTCAAATAGCTTCTGGACTCTTTTTGTTGGAGAGAATCAAAAATCCAGGATGAATTTAAATTTCAAAAAATTAAGAAAAGAAATCACTGGATCGAAATATCTGGTGTGGAAACTATTGTTTTTTGTTGTTGAAGATTCTGGGGATTGCTGTGCTCTTTGTCTCCGGGACTGCTGCAAGTTCGAATCCTGTCAAGGACAAAAAACTGAAAACTATAGGAGAATTATTTTCAAAAATTGGCCTTCACTTTGGGGAAAAAGTGCAAGGAAGACAAACTGTAACCTTTGACAGGACTGGGATATTCTTCAACTTCAGCGTCAATGATGTAGTGAATCTCATGAAGGCGTTTGTGTGGCAAATGACAATTTTCATTATGGCCGAAGCCTGGGCCTTGTCAGTGTTGACAATGTCATACAAGGATGTGTTCTGTGATTACATCACTGGGGACTGTGAAACCCGCTATGGAATCCCACGTTTCGAACCCGAATCCGAGCAATTGTTCGTGTCTGACGAAAAGAAGACTCTGTCCCTGAACGAAAAGAATTTGATGGCGTATCAACATGCCCCATTCCCCTTGGCCGAGGGTTATGAAACCCTGGACATATTTCCGCCACTGAAACATAGACCTGAGCCGCCGCTGCCATTCGATGAGCCAAACACGCCAGCAGAGGCGCCGGCACCATTGGGAACCAGGCGGATTGGACTTGATGGCAGTGGTTTCATTCGACAGCACCAGCCAGACAAATTGGATGAGTTCATTTTATCCGCAGCGGAGAAAGCGTTTCAGTTCTTGTCCTTTTCTTATGATTTAATGCACAAGTTTTTCTGAAATCCTTACAGAGATCTGTTTTTCTTTCGCTATTAATTTTCATTCCTGATCTGATGGGAATATTATTTTTCACAATGGTAGTCGTAAAAAGATGTTTCACTTTTGGAACATGGGGCCATATATGAAAGGTCTGCGCATTTGCTTGGAACAGAGCGCCATTGTTTTATTGTGAATACTGTACAATAGAGAGAAACTATGAGTTTCAAGGTTCATCCCAACTTTACAACAAATTTTATTGGGTTGTAACATCCACAACCTATGAAACATTCATGGCTTTACCACCAGGACAAATAAAACTCCTGGAATGTGTACCACTGTTGAATAAGAATTGAAGGGATTTGAACAAATACTTCCCTTTCCCGCCGCAATGAGAAACCTTGCTCGAAGCCATGGTTCTGCTCCCAAAAAAAAAAGAGAAGCATAAATTTCTTACCCTTAACCCGTTCTCCTTGCATAAAATCTGTGTCACACAAGTGGCAAGTTTAAAGAGCCTTTAGTGTGAACTCATGTAAATGTCTGAAGCCTCTGAAGTGCTTTCCGTCGGTTGTCCCCGGTGGTTACAATGTCAAACTCGAAATTTGAACAAGTTTTACGTCAATGGGATCGGTACGGAATGCTTCTCGCAACTCGACACGTCATCGATTCGCTTCGTTTTTTTTATTGTGTTCTGAAAAAAAAGGACCTTGTGGGAAAAATACGTGGATTTTGTAACTCGAAGGCGAACGATACTCAACGATACTCGTGCGCTGAGACCCACAAAAATAAGCTGTGTGAGATCAGTTGCGCAATGAACCTCGAAATTGACCTGGCTTGGCAAGCAAGGCTCACGACAACGAGAATGCCGGGGTCGTCATAGAAATTCCTTTTGGTAAAATAAAAAAAAAAGTGATCTTGCCCTTGCTAGGTTGGGAATGATTGTACAGTAGTTCGTTAAGACCCCCACGATGAAGGACGTGATGTATCTGGAATGTTTGATTGCTTGAACGGCGGAGTTGCGTGAAAAATCTGACTCTAGCATGCCCGCAATGTGACACCCGAATGAACAGCTGAATCCGAGTAAATGTCTGATGAAACAGGACTCAATACGAGGGTTGGATCATAAGTTCTGCCAATCTTGTGTCGCACTTGTTTGGATCATGTTGTGTGGGAAGATATATAACATTACAGTATCATCATTTAGTAATGCTTATTCGTTGTGTGACCTCTGTTACAATTACTCATCCAGCTTGGAATGAAGATAAGATAGGGAACTGAAAGTGCACCTCACCACTGCGAGGAAGAAAATCACCTGCCGGTTTCGCCTGGCTCAAATATTGTACTGCAAAATAAATAAAAAAAATTAAAATGACGTATTTATGCCTACCGAATACAGTAACAACAAGGGAAGTGATCTTTGCAAATTTAATCCTATATAATTATTGCTGAATGTTTTCATTGGAAGTCCTGCTTCCAATTCAAGAAAAGCCTCAGCAAATGAAAAGACGCTTGAATCTTTTATTGGTGATTTTACAGACGTTAGTGAGTAAGATTCTGACTCAAAAATTTTGGCACCCAAAGAAATTGATCATGGGTTTTGAACGAATCTTTTGAATCATCCCTCTTGATTTTCTTATACAGTACTTTTGAGTACATTGTAATGCCTATTTTAATTGGTATCTATTTATTGTTCTCTTATGTCTTGCTCAAGTATACATGATCTTTTGCAGTTCGCGGTGGTTGTGAATGTTATTTCCGAATGATTATTCAACGGTCTTCCGGGGTTTTCCATGTGCGTATTCAGGTGCACTGTGGCAAGATTGAACATATGGTCACCCTTCTGCCTGGAAGCATTTTTTTTCTCCTCTTCCTGTGGGAAGGAAAAGATTGCGGAAGGTTCTCTGCTTTCTGTCCTAAGTATTGGTATTATACGGTATTCAAAAAATGAAGCATTTGAAACACTCATTAAGGTACACGAAAAAGACCGAGAATTTAAACAAAAAAGGAAAGAATTTGACCCACGAAGCATTCCCATGAGAATGAACGATCAAGGGCTTCTTCACCTGAACCAGAACGTAACAGACCGTGGGATCGTTTTCCCTCGGGAAATTAGATTCCCCTGGCCTTTCATGGGAAAACTCAATCCGACTTCTTCATATTATTGTATTTATTTTTAACTAGAAGCGAGGCGTTGCATCGCTGCTTTATATGGGTAATGAAGATGATTGAGTACAGAAACTCAATTGGGAGAACAGGCACGTAACCGTGATTGATTGAGTTAGATGTGGATTTGAAGTCCTCAATTCGATTTTTGAATCATCAGTTTGCACAATCTAAAAAAAAAAAAACGAGGGTTTCTGGAATGTTTTCAATGGTCTGAATGCGACCTTTCTTGTTCTTTCAACTTCCTCTTTCATCTATGCGACGTGAATGAAAGGTGAATGATTAAAATCCATGCAAATCGATCCCATGAAAACAATTTTGATTCCTCATGAAGTGCTCCGTTACAATCCTTCGATAGCAAATATATTTTTTTTTCAAATCTAGTCGCTAAGGTGAACGGTTCTTCTTGTGAAGTAACGTTATAAGTGATAGCACTGAACCCACTGCAATTAGGGTATTTGGTGGGAATAAAAAAATGAAAGGCTTCTTTTTTCGTTAGCCGCAGGACTTGAATCAGCGAGTACTAAATGTACTTCTACGCTTCCAGGTGGGAATTTCAGAACAAAATTCCCCGTGATGATGGGCTTAAGCCGCCTATGGAAACTTAGACTTTCCACGATAACCTGGGAAAACAAATCTACGAAAAATTACCATTTGCTGTAATATTTTATTTATAAAGGGTGACCGCTATAGTGACACCAGATACTGTGCAGTACTTGCTCTGAGGTCTCGTGATATCCGTCTTACCAATCGACAACGCCTTCACGGGAAATGGATACAATGACCGAGGCGTTGGCTCGAGTACTGAAATGGGTGTTACTGGGATCTATTTTAATTGGCTCGCTTGCCTTTATTTATTTTTATTGAACCTCCAGCCTACTTAGTATCATCTTTGGGGGAATACAGGTGGCCTCAAGTGCTCTTTTTCCCCACTTCGGGAGGCACTGGATCCTCTTTAATTGGACGAAGACAAAAGCCTAGGAGTGGGCGACTCGACGTTTTCTTGCGGTGCAGTCACGCGTTTCTGAACCGTTCTTTCTTCCAATGCACCGCTCTGTTGGAAGAATAGCCCGGTTTAATTATAGCACCCCGAAAACGACAGATGTGCATTGACATCCAACGAGAAAATGTCTTTCTCTCTTTTAAACTGTACTTGTGGTGGAAACGCACCTGCGGGCAATGTTTTATTCGCTCAGCTTGTAACGGAAGGACGATGAGCCCCTGGGATGGTTTTTAAAGTTTCGCCAGCAGTCCTACGCCAGGAAATCGAAGTCTTCTGAGTACCCATGTTATGTGAAAAAGAATCCCTGCCCAGTGTGGGGTGACAAAAAGTGACCTGAAGGAAACGTACGTTCCTTTGTTCGGGGTTTTTTTTTTTTAAATCCCAGTCTTGACCTGAGCAACTTCTTCCTCATCAATTGATATTTCAAGGCATTCCGAAAATTCACCATTAGCGCCGTGTAAGAAGGCATCATTCCAACCCTTTTTTCATGAAACATGATTGTTAACTGTTTCAAATTAGGTTCACTGCGTTTTTTTTTTTAGCGCTTGGAGACTGTCCGCAAATTTGAAACCCTTTCAGTTGCTGTGGCAGGTAAATCTTATTTTCGTTCGATGCAGACTACAGTTCTTTCAGCTCATAGGCTTATTTCAATCTGGTTAAGCAAAAATTGAGGTTGTCAAGAAATAATGAGATATTAATCTGTGAGCATTACATTCACTGTCATGCTTCTAACAAGAAAATTACAAAGCTGAGAAAAACTTACGAAACAACCCTTGCACTCAACGTGGGAAGGGGTTTTAGACTCGCCCGTCGGACACATGGCATTGGATTTTTCGGGAAAGCGTGAATCTTCCCAGTCTGGGTTTTATCCTATCAGTTATTTTCGTGAGAGATCTTAGAAAACCCCACGCCCACTTGAAAGATAGGAAAAATTAATCGAAATTAATGTTGGGTGATCAATTCGCGAAATCCTCTGGATATACAGTATGCGGGATTATTTTCGCGATCGAAACGAAGTGGATTGATTGGGTTTCAGGCTCATGTACTGTATTTGACTAACCGTGAGGCGGCTCTATTTTACTCTTTCCAGACACATTTGGAAGTGTTCCGGAAAGACAGCAGGAAATTGCCGATAGGAGATCCGGATATCGACTGGGAAGAAACAGTTTACCTCAATTTGATCATCCACCAATTCGAATACACACTGACTCTGGCCACTTGCACTCGTACGAGTCCGAAGCACTTACAAATACTCAAGCGTTATTCACAGGTGAGTTGCCAAAAAAAGGCATGCTCTTTTTCCGCAGATTTTTTTTTCCTGATGCTGTGGGAACTACCGAAATTATTCAAAAGAACTGTATTTTCGTGTAGCAGGTAAAAGTCAATTAGCTAAGTTTTGCTCGAGTTTTTAAGCAATTATTACTTACGTAGCCTTGATTTTTTGGGGATTTTTAACCGTCTTCAAATTTTTCTGAAATAAGTTTTTTCTTTGACATGTATCTTTCACTACGGAGCTCGTTAACGTTTTCTGCACATCATCTGCATCTTTGAAAAATCTTGACTAATACAGTACCGTATTCAATCGACTGTGGGCCGCACTTCCCTCAAAAACTTCATCGAAAATATTAAGGTCTAAGAGCCCGTGTTATTAGTGTTCAAGCTGCACACTGATTTTAAATAAATATATGTAGTACAGTACATTACTGTAGCTGAAATTGTCGCACATTTGGATTTCAGAGATTCAGTGAGGAGTTTTTCGAGGTTTCACAGCGCTAAAAATTAGCACGCCTTATTCAGTTGGTGACCCGTTTGTTCTTTCAAGTAAAGTAAAGTAACATCCAAGTGTGAGATAACATGTAGTTGGAAGTTCAAGACAGATTTCTCTTTTGGCCTTATATGATTTCTCTTCAAAGATTCTCTCTAAATTGTTCATTGAACTAAAACTCATACAGAAACAGGCTAGTTGAGTTGGGTGGGGAGGGGGTTTGGCTGCAGGAGTTTTGGTTGTGCCTTGTGAATGCTGAAAAGCGGCAAATAAAGTTTTCTGTTCATTCATTCATTCAAGACCGAAATATGGTACATTTCTAAGACACATTGTGTCTACGCGTTTAGTCCGCTTTCCCCCTAAAAATTGTGCAGTTCTGTATAGCCTTTTAAAGTTTTTATTGCAGATATGTATAGCCTTTTTATTGCGGTCGATACAGTTTCTTCTTTTGAAAATGGCAGTTGAAAATCGGTATGCTGTCTGTGCATAGTACAGTATACTGTATAGTGTGTGTATACACTTCACTGTATTCAAGCGATGACGCTTATTGGTGTCACGCCTTTCGCGAATGGTTAAGACGCGCAGATTTCACGAAGTACACCAAGAATAAACTTTCGAAATTTCGATGAAAACTATCACGTTTAAAGAGTACATGTTTTCCAACTGCGAACTTTTTTTCGCGTCGTTCCCGCACTTCGACTCCCGTCCGTTCGGATGCCTGTTGTGGATTCGCGTCGTCCTTTTTCCCTGGCCGGACTCGCACTGTTTGCCGGAGCGCAGCGGCGGGAAAGAGAACCTGGCTCTGGATTCTTCGGGGCATTTTGATGGGGATGAAAAACTGCGCAAGTTTCGTATTTATTTTTAAATATCTCGTGCGTGAACGCGTCATCTTGAAGGCACTGAACGGAACCGCCGCAACGGTGTGTGTGGTGGCCAGCAGTGCATACGCGTAAAACCACTGACGCGTTACTGGATGAATGAACTGCATCTTGGTCTTCCGCGATAATTCCTTCATCAGAGACATCTTGTGTAAGAGGGCACTTGGTTCATGCCCTTGGAGGAAACAGATGCACAGTAGTTGAGTCTTGAATCTCTCAGGTGTGGAATACGTCGCAGAAGGGGCCACTTGAGGAAAATTGTTACTGTACAACATGCTGAAGATTATTTGAAAATGCGGCGTGGTTCGCTTGAAATAAATCGGAAATGCCGATAAAGCACATAGCTTAAAATAACTTGAAGAAAAAAATGCTTGCTAAATTCTATCTTGTCTTGCTTTTCGGCTAAATGTCGAATTCTGCCGTTCATTGTTTTTGGGCCGAGCGTGAAAGAGCAAGTTTTTACTCATCTTGATGAGACTTGATGCGAACGCTTCCATATTCCTTGTCAACACAGAAACTGACCGAATAGCGAATACCATTGTTGTCAACAACGTGCTGTAAAAAACGCGATGATATTTAGGTTGAATAGGACGATTCCCGCTTGTAAATGAGGCATGCGAACGAAATCAGAAGCATTGAACAAAAACTTGTCTGCTTTTTCTCGAAGTGACAGTGGGGTTGAAAACGGAATACAATACAGTACCGAACTTTGGAATGCACGGGGTTTTATTACAGAAGCTCAATTTACATTTCCATTTCTCCCCGCTGCAGAAAGTTTACGCATCGCCGAGCAGGCGCAGAATGGACGCCAAAGGAGAACAGGAAGAGGTGACTTATCCAAACATCTTCTTCATGGTGGATAACTTCGACGAGGTAAATGTTTTCCTCCTTCCTCCAAGAACTTGAAAGAAGGAGCTGTTCGGGTTGAGCCAACAGGACTGGGACTTCTAGGGTATTTATTAAAATAATAAGTGCAAACAATTTAATAGTATTATTTATTCAAGTTCTTCGCCACATTTCTACAGGTCTCCTATACTGATGCGTTTGGAACTTATTTGAACGGCTCAACGTTGGAATGTTTTCGGTTTTGAACTGGTGTTTCAGGATTGTCCTTGACACATATACGCGATATCTGAATCAGATTCCTCTGGGCGACTACAGGATCAACAAACTGCTGATTTTCTCTAATTTCGGCTGAGAACTTTTCTTTCTCACCAGCAGGTTAAACTCGAGTTTCCTTCGTATTCGGGATTAATTGTTTGAAAATTATCATGTACTGTCCTAATATGTAAGAGTATCATTCGCCATCAATTCGATTTAACGGGAGCGGTAAACTGTCAGATCTTAAAGATCGACTTCTGTATTCAAACTCACCTTTGGACGAATTGCTGGATTTCGTCATCTGTGCGAACACTCAATTTGTAACATGTGTTCTCCAGAAAAGACCTGATGTTCTTCTGTGATTTGTTCTACGTACCTAATTTAGCCTTTCCGATGATTTCCTTTTGTCTCGACCTCTGAGTGATGTTCTTCACAGCCCATTTCAGCGTAGTATCGCCGAGTCAAGGACGGTTGAAAAAAAAATTACGTGTACATCTCTTTGAACCAAATTTTTAAAGTAAATTAAGATGAATTCTGAATGAAATGTTGCAAAGATATTCATTTAAAAATACTCGCAATTTCCTCTCTTATTCTTTAAAGTGTTGTTCGTTTCTCTTTGTTTCAACTTGAAAGCTCCGGTTTGGCTTGAGCAACCCTCGTGACCTTACTCCGCGTCGCGCACAGTCTTGTTCTCTAATTTGCTACGAGTGTCAGTGGGAGGATTGTTTCTCGACTGTGAATTCAGCCTCTCTTTCAAGCATTTTGGTCATGCGTGTGTTTACTCGTGTAGGTGTTCTCTGACTTGGACGTCCGGGATGGTGAAATGATTTGCGCTGAGCTGATGGCCTCGGACAAGGACGGTTCGTCTGTCGGGGGTGTGGCGTTCCTGGGGGCGATTGGATACGATACCTTGAAGAGAGTTTACGAGGCGAGGGTGAGATTCTTATTTTTCTAGCCGACTCCCATCATAGAGTGATTCAAGGGTTTTCAATTTCGATTAGTTTTTTTGAAAAGCTTTATCTAACTTCTGCCCGTTTTTCACGCATCAGACGAGTGCGACGAATCGAATGGCGCATCGTATGAAGAACTTCAGCTTGTTCCAGTCGCGTCCAGGACAGCGCATGGAGTTCATGAAAATGAAGGGCCCCGGCGGCAAAGGCCACGCGGAAATGGCTGTTACTAAGGCTCCAGGCAAGTTCATATTCGGGGTGCACCATAAGTCTTGCAAGTCACCGAATATCTTCAATTCCGGACGGATGTTTCGTTTCGTCTTGTGTTCAAATGCTAACCTTTTCTTCAATTTTTAAGCGATCCTTGAGGAAAAAAAAAAAAAACCCATCGCTATAGCTAATCAAGTTGAGATTCGATCGGAAATGATTTGAGGAATGTATAATTTCAGCTTATGGGAACATAACTCTAAAAATATTTTGTGGACTACTCTTTTTTGTTCGACTGTACAGGATCCTTCATTTTTGGGGGCATTTTCAATTTGACTTCTCGAAAATCGTTCCTGGATAGTTCCTTACCGTCGCTTCGATATGTTGATACATTTTCAGCAGTGGGCGCATTTCAAGAGATTTCAATTTTCGATCCTCTCCACCGGGAAAATCGCAGAAACAACAATTTCTAGTCCAACACGAAATTTCAAAATATCCCTTCAGCAAAACTCATATGTACGGCAATTTCGTACAGCAGCACCGTTTTATGTTCCTCTCTGTATGGGGTATTTGTGAGAGCAAGGAAGTTCGGGAAACTTGAAGTTAAATTCTTGCGCGACGAATTTGCGAATTCGTTTGCTTCCTACGTACTTCCGGGAGGAAAACGACATGCGTAACTTGTAAAGCACAGCAACACGAAGTTGCGGAAAGGGGGCAGTTATGTTGTTATGTTCCATCCAATGGCGATTACAACGACGATTCGTAGGGAAATTTTGAGAAATCCCTCGTAGACCGCGTTATTAACGCTTTCGTTTTGTAATTCCGTCTCTCACGCTCTTATACTCGTATGGTCGAGTTTTCTGTCTAACCGAATTCCTTGTCTGTTTTGCAGGGTGCGGCGCGGACACGCCTTCATCGGAGCCAGGAATGTCTTTCACGGATCTTTACGACTCTGACTTTGAGGACGAAGACGACGAGCAGCAATCATTTCGTCAGGTTTGTTTTTCGAGCAGTCAAGAGTGTCAAATTGTATGAAGGTTAATGACCGTCAAATGAACGTGATAATATTCCGGCGTGTAGAGACGGATGAGCGATCCTAGCTCGACGCTGAACAATTTTGTCCGTTCGTGGAAGAGTCGTCCATCGGTAAAAAGCGGGACTGGTGGCAACTACGTACACGACCCGTCGGGTACGCGAAAAAAGTCGCACTCAGAGTCTGAAGGGCTGGATCAGTATTCCGCGGGGTATTGTGAAGTTGAAGCTGGAGATCCGAGAGATGGTAATATTTTACCTTAACCCTTCAAAACTCAGTTTTTGGGCGATACCCGCCTGGATATTTATTGACACTAGAGCAAATGTACCGTTACGATCCTGCATCCTTCCAGAATGCCTCACCAATGGCAATTTTGGCTTCTTGCATGAACATGATCGTTTGTTCCTTAGTAGTGTACAATACAGAACATACCGTAATCTATCATCTATTTTAAGGTTCTAAGCTCTCGGTTAGGTCCCTTCAATAATAAGACATCACATCTGCACATTTCTTCTGTAACTGGTTATTCTGGGAAACGATGCTCAAGTCATCAATCCAGATAGTCGAGGTTTCCCGTAATTTCGAGAATACTTCTTGAAAAAGAACAGTAAGCCGTACATTTTTTTGAACCACCTACAAGAGAAGAGAACGAGGACAAGGAATTGACGTTTCAATGAATCAAAATGAAGATTTTGTCGGGGATTTTATTTCATTCCCCCAGTTTAGCAAAGTTCTTCACTTCTTCTGTTGAACACGATGGCAGCATTCTCATATCAGACTTTATGATTTGGTTCCCTTCAGATCTCGACGGGACGGACCACATCCCACTATGGTCTATGAAGGGAGCATTGCAAACTTACCACTTCTGGAAAGAATCTCGAAGACTACAGTCATCACCGTTGAACACTTACCTGACTTACGTATCATTACCCTGGTTCGCTCTAATCCGTGGTGAGAATGACTGGTTATACTGATTTTCAAATTCATTCTGGACAATCTGACATTCGCCTCTTCAAAACAATCGCGGTTTCCGATTGCATCTCAACTTGATTACTGTGTAATCGTAAGAATGCATCTTACGTTGATCTTGCGTTGCCGAATGCGACAGATCGAATTTTCGTTGATTGAAAGAATCAATTAAGTACAGTATTATGAATGGGCTGTACATTGATTGTCTTCTTGTCAGATTTACTGGACCAGAGAGAGCCTCCAATTTTAACGTTCTGACGAACTGCAGGACTTTACGACCTAAAATAAGATCTCGGATTGACCATCGCGGATCATCTCTGCGTTGGATCTGAAGCACTCCAAATGTGTTCAAAGACTATGCTTTCCGTGTTCACTGTCGGCGAGTCGAGCAACGCTTTCAGAATATTATCCGCACGCTTTGGAACCCGTGTGTGTTATGCATCCCGCAAGCCTGCCAAAAATATTGGTAGGTTTGCTGTTCACCATGCCCGAAAACCCCTGGAAATTTGATCTCGAACAGTTGAGGTGCGCATAGCTCTCAGTCCGTCATGGAACCAAGGACGATGTTGAGGACCTGAAAACAATCAAAAATATTTCAAGATTGATGTTGTTCGGTGTAATTGCCAAAAACAGTGTTTTCCTTCGCTTTAATTGTTGCATGACTTCGTTGCTTCCAGCGTTGATTGAATTGTTCATCTATGACGTGTTTCAACCGGTTGTTTCCATTGAAATACAATCGCTATTTACCGGACTTCCGTGAGAGTTGGGCATAACTTTTTACCTGATGATTAGGTTCACAAGCCAGAAAGATGAGCCCGCTGAATTCAATACTTGCAAGTATACAGTGCTGTGATTCAAATCCAAAAGCCAATATCAATCTGGTCATATAGTCAAGAAGTATAAGGCTTTCATCAACTCGGATAAGATGAGGGACTTGATCCATCACCGCAGTTGAACTGAAGCTCTCGCAGCCGAACGTCTTTCCGTCCGAACGTCTTTCCGTTTCATACTCTTCCGAAGAAACTTGCATCAGTTCAAAGTAATTGCTGGATGGATACGACAAATCGCCGTCCTGACCGAACACCTGACACCATCATAGGTCGCAACCCCCTCAATAATTGACACGATGACGTCCACAATAAATTATGTGTACCACTTTCTGGTCTAGGTTGCATGAGTTCATCAATCATCCTCCTGTTCCTTGAGGAAGCAGAAGTTTGGATCTATGATGATCCTGTTCGTAATTCCCTTATTAAACATAAGGTGGTATCTGATATGTAATCTGAAGGAGGAACCGCTTAAATTCATGTTTCAACATAGAAATAGATCATGACTGTGCGTGAAGGTCCAACAGCGACTCTGAGATTCATCACTTAGCATAATCTTGCTTAAAAGACACAAGGAAATTTTAGAAGCGTCTTTGCTTACGAGAACTGAGCATTTTTCAGAACTCCCGACATTCACACGGATACGAATCCTTCTAGAGACATGGCGTAGCCGAGATTATTCTCGATGACTCAGTTCTAGCTATTCCTAAGAAAGATGCTCAGAGAACAGACTGTTCAGGTTAGGACGGCGCCATCATGTCAACAAGCCTCTATCCTGAACATGCTAGAACGTTCTTGTCTGTTCTCCAGCAAGCTGGATTCTGAAGGTATGAACTTTCGGGAACCTCTAGCTTGACCTGGAAACTTCTAGAACTTTCGAGATGCGACACCTAGCGTCTAGAGAGAAGACTTGCTCGTATATAAGCCCCGTCCTCGGCACTCCGTCCACAAGTTGACGAAGTGAGCAAAGCGAAGCTGAGCTAAAGAAAAGAAACCTCGCGATTGCGAAAAAAAAAAAAAATTGAGCTTGTGACTACTAAGTATTGCAGAAGAATTTTGGAAGTGAAGTTTGCAGACCAAGAAGGAATATGGCACCAGCTATTGGTATTGACTTGGGGACAACATACTCCTGCGTCGGCGTGTTCCAGCATGGGAAGGTGGAAATCATTGCCAACGACCAAGGGAACAGAACAACACCATCATACGTTGCATTCACGGACACAGAACGCCTGATCGGTGATGCTGCCAAGAACCAGGTGGCGATGAATCCTAGCAACACCATTTTCGACGCCAAACGTCTCATTGGGCGCAAGTTTGCTGATGACTCGGTGCATGCTGATATGAAACACTGGCCATTCAAAGTCATTCCTGGCGCCGGAGGAAAACCCAGCATCCAAGTTGAGATGAAGGGCGAAACGAAAACCTTCTCACCGGAGGAAATCAGCTCCATGGTTTTGGTGAAAATGAAGGAGACTGCTGAGGCATACCTGGGCTCACAAGTTCGTGATGCTGTGATTACAGTCCCTGCCTACTTCAACGATTCTCAGCGTCAGGCCACAAAAGATGCCGGAACAATTGCGGGACTGAATGTGTTGCGGATCATCAATGAGCCGACTGCTGCAGCACTTGCCTACGGACTTGACAAGAAATTGAGAGGCGAACAGAATGTGCTGATCTTTGATCTGGGTGGTGGAACCTTCGATGTTTCCATTCTGACCATAGATGAAGGTTCTCTCTTTGAGGTGAAAGCCACATCAGGGGACACTCATCTTGGAGGCGAAGATTTTGATAATCGCATGGTGGACCATTTTGTGGCTGAATTCAAGCGAAAGTTCAAGAAGGACCCCTCAACAAATGCACGAGCCATTCGACGCTTGAGGACTGCATGTGAAAGAGCGAAGCGGACACTATCAAGCAGCACAGAAGCAGCTGTGGAGATTGATGCCCTCTATGAGGGCATTGACTTCTACACAAAAATTACCAGAGCCAGGTTTGAGGAGCTGTGTATGGACCTATTTAGGAGCACTATGGAACCAGTGGAGAAGGCACTGAGGGATGCAAAAATGGACAAGGGGATGATCAATGAGATTGTATTGGTTGGTGGTTCTACAAGGATTCCTAAGATCCAGAAGCTGCTGAAAGATTTCTTCAATGGCAAGGAGCTGAATGGTAGCATCAATCCTGATGAGGCTGTTGCCTATGGTGCAGCAGTCCAGGCTGCAATTTTATCTGGAGACTCAAGTGCAAGTATCAAGGATGTGCTGCTGGTTGATGTTTCGCCACTGTCTTTAGGCCTGGAAACTGCTGGTGGAGTGATGACAAAGATCATTGAGAGGAACTCAACAGTGCCAACCAAGGCATCCAAGGTGTTTACCACCTACAGTGACAACCAGCCAGCAGTCACCATCCAGGTGTTTGAGGGTGAGAGAGCCCTGACAAGGGACAACAACCTCTTAGGTAGATTTGACCTGACTGGAATTCCTCCTGCACCCCGTGGCATTCCCCAAATTGAAGTTACCTTCAACATTGATGCCAATGGAATTTTGCAAGTGACAGCCAAGGATACTAGCACAGGGAGGTCAAATAACATCACCATCACGAATGACCAGGGCAGGCTATCCAAGGAGGAAATTGAACGCATGCTGGCTGATGCAGAGAAATACAAGGCAGAGGATGACAAGCAAAGAGAAAGAGTTGCTGCAAGAAATCAGCTGGAGGGTTATGTGTTCAGTGTCAAGCAGGCAGCAAATGATGCAGCTGACAAGTTGAGCCAAGCAGACAAGGACTCCATCAACCAGCAGTGTGAACAATGCCTCAAATGGCTGGACAACAACAATCTGGCTGAGAAGGAAGAATTCGAACACAAGCAGAAGGAGCTGGAGAGGACCATCACTCCCATAATGACAAAAATGCATCAATCTGGTGGTCCTCAGCAGCAGCGCTGTGGAGAATCCCAGGGCCATGGTGGAAAGCAACAGGGCCCCACTGTTGAAGAAGTTTATTGAGTGAATGTGACCTCAAGATAGCTTGTCCTGTTGTGTGTGCATGTGATGTATGTATGATATTGTAAATTTGGATGCATGTGCATGTGAAAAGGAGAAAATAAAATGTTTTGATAAAGTAATGTGTGGTTCAAGTTTTAGTCAGTCTTTCTTGCCAAGTTTGCCTCCACATCATTCAGTCTTTGCAGGCAGTGCAGTTTGAGCAAATGTACTTACCTGAATTTATTAATCTGTCCAAAAGAACCACACCTCATGTTGAAAGTGTATACCTTCACAGTTGCTACAGGTACAGATCCTGCCACAAAATCGCATACATTGTTGGCTTGCTTCTATTTTTGACAGATTTTTTTTGTTCAAGAAGAGAAAATGTGTTCAAACATCATTCTAGTTAATGCATTTTAATGAGTTTTGGGGATCAGACAGAATACTTCAGAAGTGTGTATTTGCTTCTTTACAAGTACTGTAATGTGTCAGGCCCCTGTTTTTGCAACAAGCAAGAATGCCTTAAATTTGCACAAATTTGAAAGTCTGAAAAGGGAATTTTTTGAACTTGTTATAGGATATAATTTGTGATGGATAATGGTAATGGCCAGTTTACATCATACTGTTAATGCAGAGCTGTCAGCCAGGGTTTTACACTGATAACAGCATATGCTATGAGACCATGGCACAAAACAAGTTCATTGAACAGCCATTTTTATCACGACATCCTGTAAAGCTAGAGTCTATGAGTGATTTCACCTTCCAATGGGAATGTTCTGCAGCACGTCAAGATCTTCGCCAATATCAGTTGGAGCTTATTATACGTTAATTCTTCTGCGCCTTTCTTATCTATTTTTCCGGCGTTGTTTGAACAACCTCATCTATATCATCAACATGCAACTCTGAAGATGTAAAATCAACATGGAACTCTGTGTTATATGAAGATGTATAAAAAACACAAAATCCGATACAATATTATCTTCTCAGATCATTTTCTTCACTCGAAGAAACTATACGGCTCGGAGGTCACGCAATTCAAGGAAAATAAAGTCGCTATTAGTAGGCTGATTTATTTTTGCATCGGGAGAAAAATTTCAGGATTTTTTTTCCGCTGCTGCTGTAACTTCAGATGCGACCAACACAGCCACATGAACAAAAATATAGATGATAGATGCTTTAGTGCGTGAGCAAGGAAAGCCTTTCTGTATCTCTTCTCAGCTGAATTTCATTGAAGGATTTAGGATTTAATGAAGAAATTAAGCGTCCTCTTTACGCGATGAAATTTGCTCCACTCTCCCGCTATTCAATGGTGGGAGCAGAAATGGGCCCGCAAGTAATTTCTCTGAAAATCGGGCAAGGGGCAGGAAATCTATGTGGAACCCAACAGCGGATATCTTGCACGCCAGTTTCCTGTTGCTGCCGAAACGATAATGCATATTTCAGCCTCTTGGGAGAAACATCGATCACCTTTTTTTAGCAAAGCAGAAAACAAAAAATCCCAGCGTTTCGCCTTCTAGCAATCGTTCAGTCTGGGTCTAGCCAGCGGTTCAAATTGACGCCTTCTTGGGGGCTCAGTGAAAAAAAAAACGAAAATCATTGATTGTTTTTCTCATGGCTGGAAACAGTAGAGACCCTTTCCATCTGAAGGGGGAATTCGATGGCAGACACGACTTTTTATTCGCCATGCTGTCGTTTTTCACCGGGCTTCAGAGATGGGAAATCGTTGATGAGCTGACCAGATCATGGAAGGTAAGGATACACAATTCTGCTGTGGAATTCAATTAAAGATAAATATTGTGTAATGTACTAGTTGACTACATTTTGGAGTACTTAGACTGGGCGACTTGACTTCCTATAGTGTCCCTCGAAGAGAAAAATTACCTGTTTTCGGTGTGGTTCTGGAATAATTTAGCTCTCGCTTTTAAAATAGCAAACGAATCTTTAACGGGCCTTCAATTGATTTATTTTCTAAGATAATACTGTACAATAATGCGAGCAAATTAAATTTGATCTGTCATTGCTTGTCTCACAAAATTTCTGAAACCGCTGGATTACACAAAAGGAATTGCAGAAGGGTGCAAATTTTTGAATGATGATGCAAATAACGTTTTTACTCGAGTACCATGCGCACATTTCTGAAAAAAAAACCATGAAGCCTGTGGGATGCAAGTTATATGTGAGTTTCTGAAAGTGACAATAATGAATAAAAACTTATTTTGACGCACCAATCCGGTAAGAATGCTTTATTTTAGTTCATCTACCTATTTTCTTTCCCATTATTATTTGAAACAAATTTGATTTTTAGAAAAAATAAAAATAAAACTGGATTCTGGGCTATTTGCAGGGATAGGTTTTTGGGGAAATTCCGCTGTAAACATCAAGGTGTCTGTCTGAAATTCTGAATACAGTACAGTGCTTCTTCAATCATGATGATGCATGCAATGAAAAGTTGTCATTTTCAATCTCTCTCAAAAATAAATACAGTTGAACCTCAATGCAGTAATTCGAACCTCTCTATAAGTCCAATATCTGCCCATATGTTGAATTTCTTCAAGTTTCTGTCAGAATTTCCTTGAAAATAATGCATTAAAAATCTCCTTCACTCGAAACCACCCAAACTCGATTTTTTTGGCTGGTTGCTTGAATTTCGACTTGAAGAGGGGTTCGACTAATCTCGCAGATCTGACATTCAAAATCGAAATTCCAGACTCCGAGAATGAATTTACAGTAGTTTCAGCTGTCATGTAATGGTTTGCGATAGTCTCACATCAGCATGCTTCTTAACCTCACATCAGAATTTCAAAATTGTGAATGAATTCACGAAATATAACACTAATAATTCGACGGATGCACGCCTCGAACCATCCCATGTCTAGCACTTTACATGCGAATCTTAAAAGAAAAAAATGGACGACATTCTATAAGACGCAGCGAAAACTTTTGAAAGTGAAACTCGAACTTCAAGTGTTTTAAATTCGAATGCAATAGACGATTTTCGAAATGATTCACGATGAGGCTTACGCGTATTTCTCACTCATATATCCTTACAAAAAGTCTCAATAATGAATCTCCGACATTAGTCCTGACTCCTGACAATCTTCTCAATCAACAGATTGCGGATTTGGATGATTTCATGGATAAGAGCGACAAGAAAACCATGGTGTGGGTTTTCCGGGAAACAGAACCCGTCCGGCAGGGAGGCAAACTTCGCTCGGACTTGCCCAGCAGCAGCAACAGACGGGGACGACGCATGTCAGCGATCGGTCAACAGGATTCCTGCACACTTCCGCCCCTGATCAGCGTCAATAACGCTTTGACATCATCAGGATCAACGTCAACATTGCCACCGCCGACAGCAGCTTCCGGTGGAAATGCTTCCGGATTCTCGCAATCATCGTCGAACGCATTCCCAACACTCGCTACTCCACCGCACTCGGATCGGGCATCCCGAGGAACTCGACAAATGGCAGGACAGAGACAACCGCAGTTGACCCTCGGCATCCCGGAAGATCAGTCATGTTTCCCTGGTCTGATCATTTACGCAATCAAGATCAACGAAGAGCGGTCTTTAACTGAGGGAAACATTTCCAGGGCAAGTTTCGGTCTTCACTGAAAATATAAAAAGAGAAGAAAATCGCTGAAGTGCTTCTATATATGCTGGAAAGCTGCGCCAGATTTGGTATAAAGAAGCGAAATCTCGTCATAAAATAAGATTAGTTCAACTTGGTCAGATTTATACTAGCATCCAGGTTTAACTTGGGGAAATATGTAGTGCCAATCTACAGTGTTTAACGTCAGCTGTAAAAACTCTTCTGATACAAGGCCAAGCATTGCGCTGAAAAACATGCAGCTGAGAAGTTGTTTCGTTTGCTTCAGAAGGTAGCAGAATAGACTGTATGATCTCATAGGATTTATTTTTACTGTGAAATTTTAATGATAAATGAACTCTAGCAATGCCGAAAACTCATCAATTTATGTAAAATAAAAATATTTTAAAGATACAACTAGAGTAGATTTTTGGGGTTGGAAGGTCTTGAGCGAGTGTTCCCCAACCTTTTTGGGTCCGTGTACTGAAAAAATTGCATAACATTTTTTGCAGGCTATTTGGCAAAGTTCCATGAAATGTTTGCAGACAAGCAGAGTTCCTTTTCAACTACATACCATAAAGTCCAGCAACCAAAACTGTTATTTCAAAAATTAAGGCAAGAATCAATGACGCAGCTGTAGTGGAATGTCTTCAAACAATTAGTCAGCTGGGCTTCAAGAAATATTTCTCAGAATTAATACTTGAAATACTGTAATTCATTTTAGCAGATGCAAATTTGTCTAAGTGTTTTTAGGAGTAAAGTCAACTTTTATTTTTCATCAGATTCTGTATTCCAACTGCCATTGTCTTCCAGAAATTCAGATAACATAACAGACTTCATTGCTGACTTAAATTTATTATGCTGAAGAAAATTTAATCAAGAGCCAGCAAATAACTTCTGCAGACTGGTGCTGGTCAGTAGACCACTGACTTGAGCAATACATTTGAGATTTTAGCCACAACTAATGTTGAAACAAATCATCACGATATTGATGCATCATCTTCTTTCACAGAAAATTATGTTTGGATGCCTGGACGGAGAAAGCACGACACTTTTGCATGCAATGTCTGTGCTTTTCAGCCGAGTTTTCATTCCGATTCTGAGTCAAAGCAGAGAAACCGCTTTGGACGGGAATTCAACTGCTGCCTCGGCAGCGAAAGAAGACTTGATGGATTCCATGGTTGTTTTCAACAGCTCTGCTACTGGTACTAAGACTTGAATTGACATTTTAATTTGACGACATTTGGCATTTCTATCCATGACCAACACGGAATTCAGGATATTGAGATAACTGAATAAATGAGTTAATATTTTATTCAGTTCACACAAAAACCCTGGCAAATATGATCCAACTGCCGCCGTGTCCGGTGATGGAGAGCATCACTGTTTTCTCACCGGATCAACTCAGAGCTGCTTTGTCAAATCCCAGGAATTCCTCGAGAATTGAATCCACATTTTTGGACTGGATCGGGCGATTGGAACACGTAAGAATTCCAATTGCAGTACACAGGAGAACATTTTACAGTAATGCTGATCATTCTGGAAGTCCAGGATGAAAATTAAAAATTCATGGATGACTTAACTCTCTCTGATACCACGATCTTGTCTAGAACGAATTTCTCTGTATAAAGCTATTTTTGCCCTTTATGGTTATACTGGCTCTCTAGAACGGGGTTCTCTCTAAAAAGATTTTCTTTTCTATTCCCTTGAATTTCGTTGTAGAGTATACTTGCTATTAGAGAAATGCCCGAAAATCTTGAGGAGCAACACATCTTCCAATTCTTTTGATCTCGAGGAGTTCATAATGTATTAGTGCTTCTTCTGTTTCATTTGAAATTACTGTACATAATTTCCTTCCTGATATTTCGTTGGTGTCCTGGTGCTAACCTGGATGATTTTAATTTCTCACGGATTTCTGCATACAGTACCGAAGTCGATCTGAGGGAATTCTTTTTAAAAATTAAGACATCTTTAGAGTTCTATTTAAATATTTTCGTTTGGGTGGCGAAAATTCACGCACAGCCAATGAAATGGTGGTTTTGTGAAGTTCGGAAAGGATAAGTTTCGCTCACTTTTAAGATTAAAATTTTTTTTTTCATTAAATTGATTTTTTTTTCATGAAGTTGGGTAATTCTTTCGAATGTTTACAGATCTTGATCGAGCAGCAAAGGGCACGTCGCGAAGTTGAGCAATACGGTCCACTGTACGAACTGGAATATTGGCGCATACGATCAGCATTTTTTGGAAATCTGTGCATCGAACTAAGAACGCCTAAAGTATTGTTTTTTTTAACATCTAAAAACATTAAATACCGTACTGTCTTCGCTTGTCTCAAATTGTAATTTTCTTCAGGTACGTGCAGTTGTCAGTCTAATGGACTCTAATCAAAGCAGAGGGATGCCGAGGTGGAAAGAAGTTGTTCAAGGCATTTTCCAAGAACACGGAAGGGCAGAAAACATCAAACATGCCTTGTCAATAATTGAGCGACAATTAGCGCCGTTGTACTTATTTCCACCGGTAAAAACGTAAACAAGCTAATATAAAGAACAAATAAACGGGGACCTATTTTGAGTTACATTTGAACCTCTCTAATTATAATTACAAGGGGCCAGCAAACAAATTTGACTTATGGAGGTTTTGATTTATATTGATGTTTGACTTGAGGAATCAAGCATTTTTATTGTTGGGAACATTGAAGAATTGCACTAAATTATGTTGATATTCTGGACCTTAAATTGTTTCTAAAATGAGTTGACATGGTGCTGAATTTGGAGACAGGGGTTCATTTGCCAAATTTAGTCTGTCACATCCTTTCAAAGCACATCAAATTCCATTTTTCATTGCTTTTTTCTTTCCTGTTTCAATAAAATAATAGTCAAAAGGTCTCAACAAATTTGGATTACCAAGGTTTTAGAGGAAAAGCCTTTGAGTTAGGAAGGGTTTTAATGCATTTTTTTTGCAAGGGAATTCAGATGGGGACTTGGAAAAATTTGACTTTGGGATGTATTAGACTTAGGGAGGTTCTACTTAGCAAGGTTCAACCGTATTTCCCATTTTAGCAACTGATCTTGCTTTCTGCTATATCTAGCATGTAGTATGAAACACGCTGTTGACAAAGAAAAATACTATGAGCTTAGTCAATTTAACTTAGATCAAATTGAAGGTAATCACGTTCAAGCAAGACCTGTACAAACAAAGCATGATGTATTGACAAAGCGAGAGACTCCTAAATCCTCCTGGCGATTGCATTTGGATTTTATAAGTTTAATAAACCAGTACATTTAGCTACAAGAATATACTGTACTCAACGAATTATATTTATAATTATTGCAGGACAAATTGATTAAAGACATGCGGCAGTTGTTCAATACCATCAAGTTCATACACACTCTGACTCCGAACGAATCATCCCAACGTTTGTCTCCGTTGTTGATCAAGGTTCGATCCCAGAAACTCTCATGGAATGCACATAATACGATGATTAATTGTTTTACTGTAATGCCGATTTTAGATCACTACGCAAATGATCAACAGTTGCAACGATTACATTTCAAGTCACGGCTCGCTGACGATTTGGACACAACCGAAGCAAGTCGTCCGACGAAAGCTCGAATTGTGTCTCGAATTGCATTCGGTGTACCGAAGAAGTTTCCACGTTTCTCAGGGCATGCTCGAAAGGGAAGGTGTACCTGCTTTCACTTTCAGTACGCATTTGGTTTTCGGGAAATTTGACTCTTTCGCAAAAAGACTGCAAAGAATCATGGACTTGTTGCAAATGTATGATCGCTACCATAATTTGCTGTCTTCCGGCATTGAGGGTGAGTGTATCAATAATTTCCGACCGACTTCCGGCAATACTGTACAGTAGTTTATTAAGCTGAAGAGAAAAAAAATATTAATTCCAACTTTTTCAATGAAAATTTTCGTCATCCTCCAGCGTTTTGGAAATAATCAACTTAATAACTTTCTACAATTTTTCAGGTATGCTGATCGACGAAAAAAGTGAGTACTATCGAGAGTTGGGGAAAAATGTCAAGCCAAATTATTCAATGTATGGTAATGGCGTTGAAAGGACATTGCTTATTCATTCGAATGCTGAAAAAATGTCGGATCTTTTATAAAACTGATATTTCTGCCATACACACAAACTTTATGCTCCTCTGTCAAAGAATGACTGATTCACTCAAGTTGGATTTCATCAGACCAATTAAGAAAACATAGTTGGAAATATTGCATCTTACGCTTTCATCGTAATTACTGTACTGTATAGGCAAAAATTCGGATGCAGACTATATTTTTGGTATGAGTGGCTTTTACTCGAAATGAACAAAATCTGAAAAATGACGATCAACACCTTTACGCGGCACATTCAAGCAAAAATTTGACAATGAAAAGCAGCAGTATTTGAACTCGACAATTACTGTATTCTCAACAGGTCTCGACCTTAGAATCAGTTTGTTAATTTCGACTTATTTGTGCATAACCATTTCAATATTTTCAGCTTTTCCTGCTTCATGGTAATATTTAATCTGCCTCATAAATTTCATATTTTTTCATAGGGCATATTTTTCATAGGGCGAATTTCGTTATTTCGTTAGAGGGAGAGTGAGAGAGTCCACTTGAACAGTGCTGTGCGAAAATTCTATCAAATACTCTCAAATGCATTTTCTTAATTAATGTTCTGAATATAGAGTCTGCTAAATACGTAAAAACTTGTTACGACGAAAAACCTCGTGAGATTTATTTTGCAGCGATCGGGGAAATGAGCGCATCGCTGGACGAAATGATGGATTGCATCGCGAGGAAAAATTATGACTGTCTGGACTCGAACCATCGGTTTTTCGAGTCGGACTATGACGCCTTCATAGCTCGCCTCAATCTCATGATCGACAAGATCCGCGTCATACTTGAAAAAGAGTTCTCCAGTGTTTGGAAAGAACCCACGGTCAACATGATTTTCCTGAAAAGATTCGAGCAACTCAACGACCGAATCCCGGGACTCGCCACAGACAAGAAGGCGACGCAAATCCTGCGAGCTTTCAATGACGTACTCGACAAGGTGAAGAACGAGTACAACACAAAGAAGGACAATCCTCCTCTTCCGAGGAACATGCCGGAAGTAGCAGGTGAAAATCTGAAGAAAAACATTCTTATTTCAAATTTGGTAAACCTCTGCAGCTGAAAGGCCAAACAAAGCAATTCAGAAATGATCAACTGCTATACCGCGCGAGGTCCTGCAAAAAAAGTCGGAAATTATCACTCGACTTCACAGAAATTCGAAACAAAAATTGTGATCCAACATTCGGCGGCCAAGTTGCTTCTCAAAAAACTGAAAAAAATTATTCCCTTCACACAATGATACTAAGGAATCCATCCCCCCAAAAGAAAGCTGCAGAGTTGCTATAACCGTTTTATCAGAACAAAAAATTCAAGAAAAATATCGCTCGATGACTAAACATGAAGTGTGGTTTTACAATACTTATAAAATAGTCCCGAATTTAATGCAGTGAAAGCTCGAATATTTACCTTTTTTAACGAATTAAAGCCCCAAGCAGTTGCTTCTCAATGGAAACAAAAATGTGATTTCATCTTTAATCAAACAGAATATTGAAGAAATACACTAAACGGGCGAAAAATTTCCTACATGCAGCACTGATGAACTTGTCTTCAAAAGATTCATATGTCGTTACCTTCCATTTATTTTAATGTATCGTATACTTTTAGTGGTACGCGTGATTTATTTTTAAATTTTGCAACAATCTTAATTTACACAATAATTTTGCATTTCAAATTCAATGTCAGTCCAAGGTAAACAAGTAAGGTTCAAAGAAGTGAAGTTACACGTCCGGGGTTGTTCCTGTGAAGAACTTATAATTCAGGTGTCATTCAGTGAACGTCATCAAGTTGATTAATAAATCCGGGTGTAATCCGAGATCTGCTGTCATTCTTTATTTTTAAATTCATGCTATCCTATTAATTCGCAGGCTCAATTGTTTGGATCCGAGGCCTGTTTGCGAAGCTTTCGAACCCCATCAAACGATTTCAGAAGCACGTGAACATCCTCAAGCGTCCCGAGGCAGCATTAGTCTCCCGACGATATCTGACACTTGTCAAAGGTCTCGTTGGATACGAAATATCTCTCCACAAGGAGTGGAGAGAACGCCGAGTATGAATTTTTAAACAGTTTTCCATCGTGAGATTAGCGCAAAAACGGCGATATTTTTGGCGAAATTTGTTGACCAAAGTTTTTTTTTTCTCTTTAAATCGTCCAGGTGACGAATATTCTCTTCAGCTTGTCAGCAACGGTCCTTATAAAAGATGGGTCTAGCAAAAAACCGAGGTTAGTTTGTAATTTCGACCCAGAAATTCTCGCAGTCATTCGGGAAGCCGAAGCTTTGAAGAAGCTGAACTTGGATCTGCCACGTGTCATTCTTGGCCTAGTGGAAAGCAAGTCTGTGTTACTGGAAAGGCGTCTAAAAATACAGGTAAAGCATCTTCATTAAGATAAAAAAAAATTTGATTGAGGATTATCCTGGGTTCAAATTCCTCAACACGATTTTAGACCACAGATGTTTCTCTGAAAGAAAAGTCGTGTGGCTTTTTAGTCTTGAGATTTTCGAGAATGGACAGCAAAAATTATGGAATGTGAGCATTTTACTCGAGCGAAGGAAAAATATCGAGTGAAATTAAAAATTAATGTATACTGTATAATGAACGAAACTAATACGATAGATACTGCATCAGGCCATCAAAATACAGTATTTTAAAATTACATACATTTTGTTTAAGCTCGTTCCGTTTTTCAATTGTTTAATTTTTTAATGATTAACGGAATTTTTCCATGAAGTTTTTGTACACGCCTCGACCACAGGTTTCCTTCTACAATTTTAATGTTTTTGTGGACTACTGTAATACGTTTTTTTTTTAGCAATTTGCTTTCCAAATTTGAGAGTGCTGCCTACAGCATGGCCTATACAAGTTATGGCGTGCCATTTTTTCATTCCATCATTTCAGCAATTAGTGGGAAGGTACAAGCAGGCAGTTTCGAAAATACCCGAAGGATTCGTTGGTTTGTTTGAAAATCATCTTCATCGAATCGATGAGGCTCTTCGTCCTGGTCTGCGCACTGTTGAATGGAGTTCCAAAGAAATACCGGAATTTGTGGATGAAGCTACGCAAATTATCGATTCTACAGAAGTATATTTCATACGGTACGTTGTCTATCTCAGGTAATCCTTTTTATTAAATAACTTACCATAAATTGCCGAGGGAAAGGTTTCAGTTGCTTGATAAGTCTGCGCATAATCCATGTGCTTTTATTCGGTATTTTTCATTAAACTTTGCTTTAGCAATTTGGGGGTTTGGGGGGCTCTTGTATAAAAATCTGTTGACTTTTTCGTGGTCCACCACTTGAAAGTTGACGAGTTGGTCTACAGTACTTTCATATATATCGCCACATTTTCAGGGCACAGGGAATCTTGAACCGAATGGACACAATTTTGAATTCAATGTATGAAACAAAGTTCCTTTGTTTGCCTGCGAAAAAGGAGATATGGACTCTGAAAACATTCCTTTCGAAAAATCAAGCTTCTGCTCAGGCTGCGTCTGAATTCCTTCACGGACGGAATTTGGTGAATATTACTAAAAGTCTGCATGCTTTAAATTTCAAGGCTAAAATTAGGCATTTTCAGCTGATGGAAGATTCGCTAATCGAAATGCTATCCATCATCCTGCACTCGGACCCGTGTCGAGTACGTGATTTGTCGACAGTTGCGATGGCTATTCGCATGGCACATAGAACGAGAAGTTCATCCGGTGGTAAGTCTGTCCATCAGATGATCAACAGCAATTTTTTCCTTCAACAAAATATTGCGAAGAAAGCATAGCAGTTTTTGGTGATCTAAGATACAATAAATCGATTTTTAAATTTTATTCTCATCATTCATTTATTTTTTTGAAAAAAAAACACTGAATAAGTTGCAGAAGCATCGTTTGATTTTCACGTCATTGGTCAACATAACTGAGACAGGAAAGCAGAATTCTTTCACTGCGATGAAGTGTTTTTTCTTTCTCTACGTAATATTGTCGAAAATGTTTTTAAAAATTGTGATAAAATTCTTAAAACTCTGGAAAACTGATTCAAAGATTGAAAAGACGATGTTTGGCCGACAGCATTGAATTTTCAAGCAAAAGAAAGGCGTGAGTATAATCGTGAAAACTTTTCAAAAATTCATCAGAGCTGGTAAAAAATATCATACTTCTTCAAAGGCTTCCAACAGATGTTTTAAACAACTATACATGCGAAGTTTAATTAAAATGAAATAAAACCGCTATTAAGCGTAGACCTCGTTTATTGAGAAACAAATGAATGAACTTCATGGTCACTTCATTATCATTTTCAAAACGTTCAGCAATATTGAGAGCTTGAAATATGGCTTGAAGGGCTTGTTATTCTAAATTATATTTTTCTCAATTAAAATTTCATTCTTATTCTATATACTGAGAAAAGTGTATCCTCTTTCAGTTGATCATGATGAAGCTGCTTCGCATTCCGAAGAACATTCCCAGGGGGCGGAATGCAGTGGGACTCCAAACGCGGAGGATAATCATCAAAAAAGAGACCATCACGATAATCATCAGCACCACAACCAAGTGAATCAACAAACAGAGCCAGGAAGCTCATTGGGTGGCTTACAGAGAAATTTACTTCCTATTTGTTCCGGCTCGACGTTGCGAATATTCAAAGCACCAGCACCGAATAATCCCGACAAATGCGACGATCATCGAATTCGTCGACAGCGATTACTCGCGAAAACTCACACAGCCTGCGAAGAACTCGTCGGATTTTACACGCAAAAACTCGTCGACATTCTGGTGTCTCTTACGAGATCAGCAATAGAAGATCTGGCTTACTTCATGGATTTCAACCCTCCTGTCGAGTCACATTCATCACTGGCAGCATCTTGGACAAGTAAATCGAATATAACGGATATTGTCTGATTTCAGCGCAGGATTATTCTTCACAGTTTTCTAGGCATAATTTAATTTCCAAGTTTGGATGTTTAGGTAATCAACGAACAGTACTGTATTCAAAAGCATCCTCTGGGTCGTATATTCCCGTACAATAAATGGGTCCCCCGCATAACGAAACAAATCCCTTCCCCTAAGGGTTTTGGCAGTATGCCGATTTTTCGCAATGTGCAACGCGATTTTCATTAAGATTGCATTTCACATAATTTAAATTGCTCCAAATAAACAAGTATAGTAAACCTTAAAACCGTGCATTTTTCATATTTTTCATAGTTTTCAGATTAAAATCGTGAATTTCAAATTGGTCACAGTATACTGTGAAAATAGAGTCATTCTGGCACTTGAAATTCTGAATTTCTCGAGTTATATATTAAAAAAAAACTATACCCTTCTTTTTCATTTTCCTTGATTAAAAGAAGGAAATTCCCAATTCAATTCAAAATGTGCTAAAGATTAGGCGTACAGTATTTGTAAAAAAAAATCGTTGAGTGAAGTAATTTCCTTATGTAAATCACGTGCTGTACAATCAAGACCATCAACTGTGTCAATGCTTTTAAATTTCTCATCCACTCAATTTTGATGCCATTGAAAATAATGTACAGTACAATGAAAGAAAGATTTATAGCATCAAGCCAAACTTTCTCGGTCACCAGGCATGTTTGGTAAAATTTCGAGGCTCTATTTTGAACTAAGACTTCGCAGAGATTAGTAAAGAAAATTAATCTGGAATCCAACATGAATTAAATAAAAAACGCTAAATTTCACGGGTGGTTGAATTTTGTTTTCCTTCTGTCATCAATATAGTATCAAAACTACGCGACTTTCGGGAAATTATTTACATCATATGATCTTAATAATATAATTCTTTATATCTTACATTTTTGAATTCGATGTTGAGTGAAAAGTCGGGGAGAATGACTGCGCTCAAATCGATACCTGATGTTGCAAGAAGGTATATATCCATTAAAACTAAATTGTATGAACCGGGTTTTGAAAATTTCCAGGCTTTTCTGGAGAAGTGGAAACCAAAGAAGCTGCAATTCAGCTGGAAGCCATCCTAGAAAATCATCGCATCAACCTCAAACCGTCCATCAATCAGATTCGTGAAATGTTGTTGGACGCGAGCAGAATCATGTTGACCATTTCTAGAACTACCAGTCAGTGGACCCGAGTCCAGACTTTTTTCGGAGGACATCAATACGTTCGTTCTGTAAGCACACCTTTTCTTTGGGTAGAAATAACTGATTTTCGGGCGTTAGAAAAATTATCGTCGGATTTTTATGCACGTACAGTTGCGCAAACAATTTCCACGGATTTCGCCAACATTTTCATTAGCGAGGGAGTAAATCAAGGTTTCCATAGCGGTTGAAAGTTTTCTTTGCATAGTTTTCTATCTTCCATTTAATTATATGCATATTTCACTCCCACTAAATTTTGATAGCATATAAAATACATTCGAAGAAAGATGCCAAATATTAACTCGAATATTCTCATTCATCATCAGGCAGTTTGTGTGAATTTCTTAGACATTTTGTTGTTCAGAAACTTCGAAGTGTCATTACTCTGAAATCGAAGCATCGATGGAACACAAATCCTTTAATTTAATTTCCCGGATGATTTTGACACTTATACTTTATTGAACTTGAAAATGTTAATACAGTTATTTACTTGAATGCATCTCGCTACTACATGTTGACGATTTATGAGCGTAGAAAGATTGGATTGGGTTCAAACCGATCTTTCTACTCTCTAAGTATGAAAATTTTCAAGAATTTTTGAGAGAAGATCAAATTTGATATTAAGAATAGATCGACGGGACCGCTGTGATATTGACTGATTTATTTCCCTCTAGCTTTTTTAACACAATAATTAAAAGTATTTACAATTGTATTAACTTTAGACAGCACATATAACCCAGAGAAATTTTGTCACTATTTATGTCCAGTTTTCGCTTGAAATATTGCGCAAAAATCTGAAAAAAAATCATCGAACTGTACACGGACATTACCCGGATCTATAGTGTAAAACAAGGAACAATTTTTTGTGTGTGTCTCAGGAGACGTATGGTAAGGAAACTGAAAACAGGAAGGCAAGTGGAGACAAAATCAATTACCCGTTTCCAAAACCTTGGATGACGAAACCCAGGATTCCACCAGAGGATAAATACTGTCCCACTCCGGTTCGACCCAATAATTTTTTCAAGCCAATCTCGGAAAACAAAGAGATAGTAAGGTGCATGAACAGTCTCACGAACAGGATTTCATCGCTGAAATCAGTGAGTTGAATCATAATGTCAATATTTCGTTAACCTCATGCTGCTCATAATTTTAATGTCGTTCAAATTTTTTTTTTTTAATTTTAAAGGAAACGAAGAAGGAGTTGGACAAACTGTCAAAATTTTCAGTGTTATGGATGCCCGGAAGAGACCAGGAAGTTCGCGAAATGTTGCGACGAAATCCGCCTCCGAATATTTACGATTTCGAGCAGAAGATCAACGATTTCATGAACCTTGACAGGGAAATTCGGACCATTCCGAACAGCGCAACGATTGGGCCGATTCACATATCTTATGGTAAAAAATATTTTCAGGCTAACTCTCTACAATAAAATTCAACGGAAGATTAAAAAAAATCGTCGTGGAGAGAGTTTAACTGAATAGAGAACCCATTATATGGGAAAGGCAGAGGATAAAAAAAATTCATGCACAGCATAAATCGTAGAGAATCAACCTGTGCATGCAAATTTGCACTGTGCGATGACCCAGCGTTCAAGTCAATTGAATGTACCGTATTACTGAACAACAACAAAAATTAAGATTAAGTTTGAGAACTTTGATCGAATTTCAGCGTTGCTTTTCCTTTGACACCCGCATAATTTTGTCATTGATACTCGGTTAAATGAAGGACGAGAACTTATTTCTTCCCACCTGTCAAATTATTTACTGTACAATAGGCATTTAAAATAATGTTACTCAAATGGGTCAGATCCCGCCAAAGCTACGCTATAATTTCACGGACATATGGCACCAAAGTAGGGTGCTAAAAGATATTTCTCGTAAAATTTTGCACAGAATAAAGTAGGTTTCTTTCTAAAGCCAAACAGCTTCTTAATTCAAGTCAGACATTTATCTACTTCGACGGGGTGATTCGACAAAGTATTTTTTTTTTAGAAAACTGAGGAATAAAAACAGGTTATACAGTGTTCATGTAATATCGTTCCGTACTGTTCATATCCTCGCAAGTTTAAAAATCCGGAAAATTTTCCAGAATTCACCCACCGTCAACAGCAGTTTTTGCTGTTATAGTTATACACTATGCTAGTACACACACAGCTGAGTGAATTTCCAACTATCAAATCACCCTGTTTGGTCTTGCAAATAAGGAGCGTTTTCTCGGAAAATACGATGTCTAGATTTGCAACGAACTTTTGATTCCTTTGGCTCTGTTATTTAGAGAAGTTGAAGCTTTTAATGGAGGACGGGGCAAAGGCTTGGATCACAAGTTATTGCCGGGGCTGCAAAATAGCGTACAAGAGGAAGCTGGATAAGTTGTTGATAAGAATTTCCGACATGTCCCGGAAGCTTAGCCAACCTATCAGGGACCTTGACGAGCTCAGTATCGGCATGCAAGCCTTGCGTCAAATTCGAGAAAACGAGGTCGACATGGAAATGGCAATCGACCCGATTGAGGTGAAGTTCTTTTTTGAAAGAAAAAAAAAACCGCGAAGTGGCCTGAGAATCAATTCAATGATATTCCTCAAAAATATGGCTGGCACCTTCCGAGTTTCCTCTATATACAGTATTCTAAAAAAAGTAGTGCTTTACATCCCGATATAAGGCTATACACAGTGCTCTGCTTTTTCCTGATAATCTCGGTGCAACAGTGAATGCTTCTGGCTTATGAGGAAAATACCATAATCAAGCTTTTTCTTTTGATGCCCTTGACATGATGTAAAAAAAAGAAAACAACTGATTGAAAAACAGTGGTACTGTACCTCTCTTGATGACTTTTCGCATGGTAAAAAAAATAAAGTTCGGTTTCCACAAAACGAATTTCTACTTTTGACAGTGGACCCAACTTCGCATAATAGACTCAATTAAAAATTATTCATCAGAGTTATCGAAATGTAAGCGGAAAATACGGCTGCCATCTTAATTGTTTAATCAAATACAGTACTGTACAATCTTTTCAGATATTTGAAGCGAAAGTTGCGCATTTTCGTGGCTTCTGTGTGGTTTTTACGTACTGAAATTTTATGATGCATATTTAAAAAGTTACTTTGGAAGTTATTTGAAAAATTACCAAGGGAAATTTTGAAAGACTTGAAACGGTTTCGCTTTTCCAAACACAATGTTCAAAAGTTCAGAGTTTTTGAAGTTTCTGGGACCAATTAATTCTCATTAATTTTACGTTGTTCTTAGAGTTAAACCCTGGGAAACTGCTGTAATCACAATTCATCCAAAAATGTCACGCAAAAGTTGGCAATGCGCTCCGGAAGCAAAGCCTTAGTTTATGTAGCTATTTTATATTTTTATATAGCTTATTTTACATTGCATTTATTTTAATAGCTGAATTCGGCATATTCAACTTAAGAATATCGAAACTCAATTGTCGTCTTGCTTCTTCGCTAATATCGCAGGAATCCTTCGCACTCGTGCAAAAGCACCAAATTCGAATCACGAGGGAAGAGACGGACAAAGCCGATTCACTGCGATACACATGGCACACGTTGCAGGCCCAAGCGAATGAGATTCAGGCTCTATTGGCAAATTTGCAGGCTAAATTTCGCCATCAACTGGCGAAGAACCTTCAGCAATTCGAGGTGGACAGTGCAGCCTTTTGTGAGGCCTACTACGAGTCTGGTCCGATGGTGAACGGACTAGTTCCGAAAGAGGCTTCCGAACGACTCCTGAATTTCCAAGTGGGCAAACTTAGAAAGTTATTTAGTAATGTCCTTGCAATTTTTTAAAATGTTAATTTCAAAGAATCGATTCGATACGCTGTGGAGACGTTACGTCGTGTATTCCACCGGCCAAGAACTGTTCGGCATGGAGCAGTCCGACTTCCCAAAGCTTTTCCAGATCAGGAAGGAACTCAATTTGCTGCAAAAGCTCTACCGACTTTACAACGATGTCTTGGACAAAGTGAATTCGTATTACGAAATCCTTTGGGTCAATGTCAACATCGAAGAAATCAACAACGAACTGATGGAATTCCAAAATCGGTATTAAAAAGTTGTCTCTTATCAACATCTGGCGTCCCTGATATAATTTTCTTTGTCGTTGTCACCCGAATTTATGTATTTCTAAATATTTTAAAACTTGTTTTGCGTTACGTAAGGGTTCAGGCTAGTTGCTTGGTTTTGTAAACCTCAAGAGGTCAGCTTTAGTTTTTTGAAGAAGGGATGGATTTTAGCGACACCTGTGTGGCATTCGGAAAATTAAGTTGAGCGGTGAAGTGGTGCTATCTGTGTCTTTATCTGTGCAGATGTCGCAAACTTCCAAAAGGTTTGAAGGAATGGCCAGCATTCAATTCCCTCAAAAAGATAGTGGACGATTTTAACGACATGTGTCCATTGATCGAATTGATGGCGAACAAAGCTATGAAACGTCGACATTGGGACAGACTGTCTGAGGTCACGGATTATGTTTTCGACGTCGAAAATACGGCGAAATTCAGCCTCAAAGAAATCATGTTAGCACCACTGCTCCAGCATCGGGAGGACATTGAGGTAAGCGTAACGCGTACCACCCTTAATTGAGCATAATTATATCCGAACGGGAAAAATATTATGAACTATTCAAGAGCTGCTGACGGTGTCCAATAAGAAATGAGAAATACTTCCAAAAATGTAGCGCAAATGAGGGATTAATTAGTTTTAGATTCCGGGGTCGGAAACATTTTAAGGCTGTACCGTAACTTAAATTTGTAAAGACAGTGTAATTTTTTATTTCCCTGGAGGAATATCACGCGTAGTACTGTAATAAGCACATTTTTTATATTGATGAAAACGTGGCTCGTGAAAAAAGAAGTGATGGACGAACCGAACCGAACCCACTTTCAAATCGAGGAATTTCTGAGCATAACTTGAATGAATCCAAATATATTGGGGAATTTTTTTCTGATTGAATTTTATAGCATCCCGCGTTATGTTCTGTAAATGTTAAAAGCAGGGTTACTGAATAGTTCAATCTTTGCAGGATATTTGTATATCAGCGGTCAAGGAGAGAGACATTGAATCGAAACTCAAAACAGTCACGAATGACTGGGCGTATCACGAACTTACATTCATGTCATTCAAAAACAGAGGCGAGTTGTTACTTCGAGGCGATTCGACGGCAGAAATTATTACTCTGTTGGAGGACAGCTTGATGGTTTTGGGATCCCTTTTATCAAACAGGTAATACCATGGACAAAAAAAACGGGATCTTGTCTATAGATATTCAGATCTCCATCATTTTCTTTCATAGGTATAATGCGCCATTCCGAGGGCAAATTTTAAAATGGGTCTCAGACTTGACAAACGCAAGCGAAATTCTGGAGCGCTGGCTTTTCGTACAGAATCTTTGGGTTTATCTTGAGGCCGTATTCGTCGGCGGGGACATCGCGAAACAGCTTCCACGAGAAGCCAAAAGGTATATTCAAACATTTTTGTTTCATTATGAAGATTGTGGAAATTAAAATTTTTTTATTTTCAAACCAGATTTTATTCGATTGACAAAACCTGGCAAAAGGTAATGAGCCGAGCTCGGGACTTGCCAAACGTCGTCTCCTGCTGCGTCGGGGATGAATTTCTCAAGCAATGTTTGCCCAATTTGCACGCCGAATTGGAGATATGTCAAAAATCTCTATCGGGGTAATGATGCCACGATTAAAAGCCAATTTTAAAACATTTTTCGTACAAAATCTAAAAAAGGCATGAAGTTTAAATTGGTAAACCACCCCATCACCTAAAATCGCATAAAAATGTCGAAGAACCCGTGATTGAACAGCAAGTCATATGGAGAATGTTTCCTAAATTCCAAGAAAATTTCCGAGAAACCTCTGAATTATTACTGTAAGACGTAGAAATAGCGTTGCCCGATTGGAAACTTGAAAATCAAGCAAACTTCTTCTGGGAGTTCATATTTCTTTTTATTTTAGTAGGTTACCAATTTAGTTTTGTGTCCTTGTTAATACGGTAACTTCTGTAAATTATTCATTTTAGATTTGTTATGCCATGAAGTTAATATATGAGATTTTTAAATAAGTTTTATACAAAAGCATCGGATATTTGGGAAATAATTTTTTCAATTCCCGGAATCTTGTGAAGAAATTCACCTTGATATTCTTCAACTTTTAATCCAAATTTGAATGGCCAGGCTGGAAAAACATTTTTTGAAGTTTTACCAATTCGTTCAGGTACTTGGAGAAGAAACGCATGATGTTTCCAAGGTTTTTCTTTGTATCCGATCCTGCTTTGCTGGAAATTCTTGGCCAAGCTTCCGACTCACACACGATCCAAGACCACCTCAAGAGCATTTTCGATAATACAAAAAGCGTGATTTTCCACGAGCAAAATTACGATCGTATCACTGCCATCGTGTCTTCCGAAGGAGAAACGATCACGGTAAAAAAAAGTCAAATTTCAGGGTCATTCGAGAATGGCAGTAATTGAATGAATTGTTAATTTCCCAGCTCGTGCAACCTGTAAGAGCTGAAGGAAGCGTGGAAAGTTGGCTCATGCGACTCCTTCAAGCGTCTCAATATTCGGTTCATTCGATTATTCGAACCGCGCACAAGAGCTTATCTGACCCGAACTTCGACTTGCTGGTGTTTGCGAACGTCTTTCCGACACAAGTCAGGAAACAATTTTGCAAAGATAATCGGAAATTATCCTAGCTTTTACACTCAATTTTTCAAATTGATATCTCGCAGGTAAACATTTTGGGCTTGCAAATGATCTGGACTCGCGATTCGGAAATAGCTTTGTTGCGGAGCAAGATTGACAAGAAGATCATGGGCGAAGCCAACAGCAAATGCCTGGCAATGCTGAATGTCTTGATTGCGCAGACAACGAAAGATCTTTGTCCCGTAGAGCGAACAAAGTTTGAGACCCTCATCACCATTCATGTCCACCAGCGAGACATTTTCGATAATCTGGTCAGACTTCATTTTGTTCTTTCTCTTTCCGAGTTTGTCATCCTGCAAAATTGTTTGATATTTTTCAGTGTCGAATGAGCGTGAAATCTGTCACGGATTTCGAATGGTTGAAACAGTGCAGGGTTTACTTTCGAGAAGACCAGGATCAAACGGTGATACAGATAACCGACGTTTCTTTCGTGTATCAGAACGAATTTCTGGGCTGCACCGAAAGGCTCGTCATCACTCCGTTGACAGACAGGTTCCACTTTTGAGTTTTCTAGAAGTTGGCTAGATGTCAGGCTCATATTTTATCAAGACGGCACTTCCCTAAGAAATGAACAAACCTTTCGCATGGATTTTTAATCTACGCGATAAAAGAATCAAAGAAACGTAACAGAAGACTCAGATAAATTTTGAATTCGGCTGGCATTTTTAGTAATTTAGTACATTCATTTCATTGTCTTAATCAAGATATATTTTTATGAAATAATTTTAACTGCCATTGCCTTGCCAAAATTTAAGATAAAGATACACAGTAACGTCCTTCATTGCTATTTTCGAAAAATTCGTTAGCCTGCAAAAAATTCCCGCGGACCGGTAAACAACTTCTGCGGACCAGTACTGGTCCGTGGACCACGGGTTGGGGAACACTGCTTTAGATGCATGAAAGCAATACAGAATCTAATTATTGGCAGTCAAAAACACTCAATTTTTTCAGATGCTACATCACACTAGCACAAGCACTGGGGATGAGCATGGGAGGCTCTCCAACCGGACCCGCAGGCACAGGTAAAACCGAAACGACGAAGGACCTCGGCAAAACGCTCGGAAAATACGTTGTCGTTTTCAACTGCTCCGATCAAATGGATTACCGGGGTTTAGGCAGAATCTTCAAAGGTATAATAACGCTCCTTGCAAAGCCAGATACTTTAATCAGATCAGCAGACGGAAGCGGATTAATGAACTCACTGTGTAATTACTGTACACTATTTCACTTCAGGATTGGCCCAATCCGGAACCTGGGGCTGCTTCGACGAGTTCAATCGGATCGAGTTGCCCGTGTTGTCAGTGGCCGCACAGCAAATTGCAATGATCTTGAATTGCAAAAAGGAGAAGAAAAGTTCGTTCATTTTCATGGACGGGGATCTGGTCGACATGAACCTTGAATTCGGGATCTTTCTCACCATGGTAATGAACAAATAATTTACTTTTGGGACATTCGGAATGATTTACGATCTAATACATGCTGGACACATAATCGCGAGAATATTTCATGAAGTTACGAGTGTAAAAATATGTAATTTTCGCCAAAGGAAGGTGAGACTATGCGAAAGGACGAAACGGAAATATTTTAGACGATGACAACAGGATTCATCGTCGGGTTGAGACGATAGGAAGTGTTATTCCGGTTTCGGATAAGGGATTTCGGTTGGCGTCTATGTGAGAAATGGGAGGAAATTACGGAATAGTGACATCCTCAGCACAACCGTTATTGAGGGGCTGAAAGCCGATGCATAAAATGAATCAGTCTAGAATTTTTCTTGAATATTTCGAAAAAAAGTTTGTCGATCAGGAACCTAACAGTTACTGTGAGTCGACAGCAGGACGTCAGGAAATACAGAAATTTTCTTTCAATTGTCCTATGAAAGCTTTCTGAAATTCTCAAGCTTTTGTAGGTATGAAATCTAGATTGCAATCGCCAGTGAATCATTTTGTGCTGTAATAAAAAAACATTCTGCTGGTTTTTTTTCCTACGTTTTGCTTTAGAATCCTGGTTATGCTGGTCGAAAAGAATTGCCGGAAAATTTGAAAATACAATTCAGAACCGTGGCGATGATGGTCCCAGACCGACAGATCATCATCAGAGTAAAGTTGGCGTCATGTGGATTTCTCGAAAATATCACTCTGGCCCGGAAATTCTTCACCCTTTACAAATTGTGCGAAGAGCAAATGACTAAACAGGTACCTGCGATATATTTTGAATCTAGCCAATAAAATGCAGTATGATGTTTTTTGTGCTTCAGGTCCACTACGATTTTGGGCTGCGGAATATTTTATCCGTTTTGAGAACCTTGGGATCTGCGAAACGAGCGAATCCTCGTGACTCGGAAAGCATGACTGTCATGAGAGTCCTGCGAGACATGAATCTTTCAAAGCTAGTCGGTCAGTCGTTGATTTATCCGTGTTTTCCTGTAAATTTAGGCAGACTTTACAATAATTATTTTAAATGAAGCCAATTTTGAAGATTGATTCCGTACTTTGATAAGAGCAAGGAAATTCATCAAGTTGTTGGTAATTTTGTGGACATTTTTTTTTCGAGCGAGAAGCATTCGCTCCATATATCTGTGGAAAATTCATCCGAGTAAGTTAGACGATCAATGGACTCAAATGACTCAAATATTTAATTTAGCACCTGCTCTTTCTCCGATAAATCGAGAAACAATGCATATTTCAATAAATAAGTACCGAATATAACTTTCAAAAATGAAAGCTTATATTCATACTGTACTAATTTTGAAAATATAAGACTGCCGTCTCAATTGGTGTGCGCGTCCTGTATCAAGAATATCCGATTGCCTTGTACAATTTCTAAAAATTTGGACGACAATTTTTTTCTATTTTTCTCAAATCAGCCAAGGTTCAAAGAAAAAAACAAAGAATTCTCTCTGATTTGCAGACGAGGATGAACCACTTTTTATGTCACTGATCAGCGATTTGTTCCCGAACGTAACCTTGGACAAAGCTGGACATCCGAAACTAGAAAAACTTATCGACGATCAGGTAAAAGAGGCAGGTTTGATTAATCATCAACCTTGGACAGTGAAGCTCATCCAGGTTGGTCCAATTTGGTTCAGATTAGTATTAGTCAATTTATCATAAATATACTGGATTTTACCTGGAAATTTGAAAGCTTTATGAGACACAATTGGTTCGACACGGAATCATGGTCCTGGGGCCCAGCGGATCTGGAAAAACGTCTTGCATTCAGATTTTGCAGAAGGCCTTGACTCAAGCCGGGGAACCCCACAAGTCAGTAATTAGTTCTCTGAAAGATCTCAGGAAAAAGTTAAACGTTTTTCCGATGATGCAATGACGGATTTTTTTTTCGACAGAGAGATGAGAATGAATCCGAAAGCCGTATCTGCAGCCCAAATGTTCGGTCGGTTGGACGTGGCAACGAACGACTGGACAGACGGAATATTTTCTACCCTGTGGAGACGGACCCATAAATCGAAAAAAGGTGAATTGAAAAAATAAAAAGCTCTTAATTTTAATGCGGGAGATCTTCAAATGTTCGATTTAATGACAGAGTAAATGACCGATTTGACGAGAATCTTTCAACGAAAATAGGAAATGGCATCACCCTAATTGCCTTGAATTTCATTGACCAAGATGATTCCAACCCGTTCTCTTGAATTTGTTGGGGCAAAATTGAAGAGGTAAATGAGAGAACATTATTTTCATCGATTACACTTTCATCGACTTTTTATACAAACTTTAAGAAGAAAATCTATTCTTAAGAAGAAAAGCGGCTCGCATTTTGATTATTCTTTCAAATTTTTTCGCGTGAAAATCTGTAGATTTGAGTTCACGAATGCATCCTTCATAAAATCACGGAAAGTTTTGATTTTTTTTTAAAGGCGGTGAGCACATTTGGATTGTGCTGGATGGACCAGTCGACTCAATCTGGATTGAGAACCTAAATTCGGTTCTCGACGACAACCGGACTCTAACCCTGGCAAACGGGGACCGAATCCCAATGGCATCGAACTGCAAAATCATCTTCGAACCCGACAACATAAACAACGCTTCGCCAGCGACGGTTTCTCGCAATGGGATGGTGATGAAACAATGTTCCATACTTCAAAAATATAATTGTGTGAATCAGAAAAAATAAAATTGACAAGAATTTCCAGTTTTAATTTATGCAGGTTAGAGTATAGTACAGTACTGTATAATGAAACCTTAAATGAAAAGTAATTTAGATGACTGATTTTGTAGAGGTGTTTACATTTTTGGAAGCTATTTATTACCAATAAAGTCATAAAATCAGACTTTTTAAATTGTAGATTCCTCAAGATATCGATATTCCCGAATTTTGATTGGTTCCGAAGAGGTTTGGTAAATACATTAAATCTGTTTGATTTGATGTAATGTTTCTGTGTTGGAGAAAAAACAAGAACAGCTCTTGCCAATTCAAGGGAAAATTCTGTTGGATCAAAAGCTTGTCAAGGCCTTGGCAGAACATCATCAGAACTCCGTAAAAATCGAGTCACCGCAAATTTTCGATTCATATAACAACAAATTTATTTCAAGGGTGGTTTTTGATTGCTTCTGTAACAATCATCAGAAAGTATCGAATTCGTTCCCATAACTTTTCTCTCTGCCCTTGAAGAAGCAATTTTGGATCGATATTCACAGCTCACAACAGTATACCATTTTGAAAAAAAATCACTGATCACCTCAATCAGATCCCCTGATGGAGGACTTTTTGCTGATAAATTTTTCGTGAGACATTTTTTGCTGTTCAAGCTGTACCGTATTCCGTTGGGAAGGTGTTATTTCATCTTACGAAATAATTCTGATACTGGAAAAAAAATAACTCAGATTGAAAGAAAATTCATCTTTGATTTCAGAAGTAAACTCATTATGATCATTTGTAGTAATCTATTGCGAAGCATTTTTCTTGTAACAATTTTTTAGGGTTATGGACTTTTTTTGCAACGAGATTTCACCGTTATTAATAGATATGAGTGCAAATTTAACCGCGAAAAATTCAATTATTTCAAATATTTCTTGGATAGAATCCAGTGAAATGAGTAATATTTCCACGCGGAATCGGTCCAATTATTTTGGTCCCCCCTGTTCAGAAAAAAAATTTCCAAAATTTTCACAGGTTTACATGAGTTCTTCGGCCTTGGATTGGAAGCCGATTGCTCAAGCTTGGTTCAAAAAGTGTCCTGCTGGTTACTGCAAAAATCTGCTGGAAAATATTCTCTGCACCGTATTTCCAAAGGTTCATGATTGGACAAAGCACAATATCGTATACAAAATGGAGCTGCTCCAGGTCAACGTCATAACCCAGGTTCGTTCCAAAGTCCTAAAAGTTGAGCCTGATTTCCATCGGAATGGCTTTTTCAGTCCCTAGAGCCAAGGTTATCCTACTTGTGATTCAAGTTCACGGATTAGAATTTACATTTTAAAATGAGGACTGCTGACGCTTTTGGTCCGCGTTTCCACAGTTTCTAAATCTTCTCGAGGGACTGATGCCCATAAAAAATCAGTCGGACGACGACAAGGTGCAACTAAACCGTAATCCGGATGGCATCAGCATTTTGTGGTCCAAAAACGAAAATAAAGAAAGCCATATTCGTCGAAATGCCCTTTTCTGTCTGATGTGGAGCACCGGAGCTGTTTTGGAACTGGAAGACCGACAAAAGCTGGAGATTTATTACCGGGAAACGCCGGAAATCGCTCAAATACTCGACTTTCCTCCTCGACAAACAGATTTCGGAGCTTCCATGTTCGACTTTTTCGTCAGCGAATCAGGTCATCGTCCCAAAATTAATTTATTACTTTAGTTTCGTGCAGAAAAACGACGCTGAAGAGCCAAAGGATGCGCATGATTTCTGAGATTTTTCAAAATTTCACTTTTTCCACGCTGTAATCAAAAAAGAAACCAACGAGACAGTCTACTTCAAATGTCATAACTTTTCGCTCGTCAGAATGAATGAAGGAAGGAAACATTTGTTTCCCATTTATTCTTCACCAATTTTTGCGTACATTCATGCATAATTAAAGAATCGAGGATTTTATTACAACTTCCTCACGCAGCAGTGCAATAAATTGTTTTAAAAAATGCACCCAAACGTTCTCCATTACTTTTCCCAATTTAAATTAATTCTGTGGATATAGACGAAGACATTACCCACAATCGAATCAGATGCGGCGGAGCCATTAGGAAATATTATTGTTTTCCACCTCTTGTTTGGGTTTCTTGTGACAACATGCTACTGTAAACACCGATGTTGAAACCGTTATTCACTTTTCGTGGAAATGAAAGCATCTTTCAAATTTTCGAGAAGGATGTAATGAAAGTCGGAATTTTTCTAGGACACTGGGTCCACTGGAGTTCACGTGTGGCAGAATATATCTTCCCGGACGCGTCTTTGGGGCCGATAGATTTCTCATCATTCCTCGTGCCAAACATCGACAATGTTCGAACGGACTTCTTGATCGACACCATTGCCAAGCAAAAAAAGGTCTTTCATGAGAAAAGAATATCATTTTGTGTTTTCTTGAGATGATAAATGGCATTTGACCTGCTTGTGAAAACAAGGCCGTGCTCTTGACGGGCGAACAAGGCTCAGCGAAAACCGTCATCACCGAAGCTTACCTGAAAAAGCTCAACCCAGACGTTTTCCTCTGCAGGAAAATGAATTTCTCTTGTGCTTCAGCTCCCCATCTTTTCCAGGTAAGGATTCCAAGAGGAAAGTCGATTCTAAATTTATTGGAAAAAATTCCGCGTTTATACTTGCATATACGTATGTATATGCAAGTTCTAAAAAAATAAGATTTGTATGCGATCTCTGTATAATCCTGTACTCCAAAAAAATGCGATATCCATGGAAAAAAAATCATGCATCACACTTTTCTTCGTCTTACTTGGAATATGTAACTCAGCAGTATTCGTTCTCGGGGATTGGATCAATCATCAAACTCGAGAATTTTATCTTTTTTCAAGAACTTATTTTCGCAGGAGAAATTCCAAAATTTTTCGGAGCACAAGGCACAAGGCGAGGCATTTTCCCGAAAAAAAATATTTCCTCGCAGTTTTTACCGTTTCTCCGACACAATTTTCTGCTAAAAATGTGGGTGCTGTCAATGTTCACGTCAGTACTGTACTCGCATTATTAAGCCGGTGTACTCTGTCTACAGATAATTTCTACAATGAATTTCTCTGTACAACGAATTTTTTTCCGGCCATAGAGTCCTCTCCTCATGCTACAGAGATTCTCTACTACAAAAGTCTCTCTGTAACGAATTTTTCTGGTCCCTTTAATTTTGTTTTATAGAGAGAGAGAGTCCACCTGGAGATGTTTACAATACTGGACCTTATTTATTTCAGAAAAGTATGGAAAGTTATTTAGACAAACGGATCGGAAACACATTTGGTCCACCAGGAGGAAAGAAAATGGTCGTGTTCATCGACGACATCAGCATGCCGCAGATAAATGAATGGAAGGATCAAATTACCAACGAAATCGTACGGCAAACAATTGAAATGAAGGGTTTTTACAACCTGGAGAAACCCGGGGATTTCACCGCAATTGAGGACGTTCAATACGTCGCCGCAATGATTCATCCAGGCAAGAAGGACGTTTTTTATAGCGATGAATATTTTTATGCATTCGTTGAATATCAGCGAATAAATTGAAATACGGTATGCAGATTCGGAGGAATAAAAAAGCATTCAACGGAATTCCAATCACAGATACTATAATTTCCCTTACTACTGTATAAAAAAGAATCGATCATATCATTAATCAAGATTCAGAAAAAATAATAGCAACCAACGATGCTCTAACGAAACTCTGTATGACGGATGATGTCACTTCGAAAGGTCTCTTATTGCAACATCGATTTTAACGTTTTACAATCCTTAATTTAAATTTGTGATCCTTTCTTAGTGATCGAAACCCAGTATGGATTTTCAGCTGTTTCCATGATCCGGAATACGTTTCTTGAATGCATATACAGTATAGTGACACCCGACGTGCGGACGCCCCGACATACAGACAATTCGACTTAGGGTCACTCGAAAAAAATGTGACCCGATATCCGGATAATGGCTCGAGAAAGAGACACTTCAAAGACATTCTCCGGAGAAATCGAAAACATTAATTTTGAAATCAACTTAAAAATTTGAGCTGCGTATGTTTACAAAAATTGTAGATATCTTTCTCATGAATTTCCTCAAATTCAAAATCTTGAACAGACTGATTTAGTGCCTATCTCTTTAGAGTTTTTTTTATATCATTTGTGCCCCTTATTAGAAGACTTATTCTTTGCTTTTTGATTTCCTTTTGAGGCCAAACGATCAGATTCTATGTGCTTTTATTCTGCACAGTTGTTCTTTTAATATTGAAGTTGACGGAAACAATTTTTGTTCAATTTTTTTTGGGGACTTATTCCTAATTTTTGATGAACAGGAAAATCAATTAAAATGTGTGTGCATCGAAGTCTATGGGAATACGAGATCCGACATATGGGCAATGTCCAAGCACCAATTATGTCCGTATCTCGGGGTCCCATTGCGCAGTACTGTATTGTATATTGATTTCAAATGACTGAAAGTAAATAATGAGTGATGGCGGCTTAAAAAATCAAATTAAATTTCAGAACATTGAGAAGGACGACTTGGTTTTCTTCTATGCGATTTTCAGATGACTGCGGTCGTTCAAAAATGTTTTTACGCTTGTTCGGAATGAATATATACGATTTCGAAAATTACCTTTTAGGTAGCGGAAGAAACGATATTCCGGCTCGCCTCAAGCGACACTTCTCCATATTTAATTGCACTCTGCCAACGCCTCCGACGATAGACAAAATTTTCGGAGCTATCGCAACCGGCTACTATTGCAGCAAACGAGGATTTACATACGAAGTACAAGAAATCGTTGCGAAACTAGTTCCGGTCACCCGGAAGCTGTGGGCGCAAGCGAAGGTCAGAAGAAAAGTTTATTTTCTCGTTAAGAAAAGAAAAAAAAACAAGAATTAAATATATTCCAATCTTGTTTCAGTCAACCTTGTTGCCAACCCCGGCCAAGTTTCATTACATTTTCAACCTTCGAGACTTGAGCAGAATTTGGCAAGGAATGATTGGCACGCAGTCGAATGTGGTCGATAGTCAAAAGGTGCTTTTGAAGCTTTGGAAGCACGAAAACACCCGAGTCATCGCCGATAGGTGATTCTCCGCACTATATTTTGAATTTGAGAAAAGNAGGAATGATTGGCACGCAGTCGAATGTGGTCGATAGTCAAAAGGTGCTTTTGAAGCTTTGGAAGCACGAAAACACCCGAGTCATCGCCGATAGGTGATTCTCCGCACTATATTTTGAATTTGAGAAAAGTGTTGTTGTCAGAAAAAAAGAATCCACCCCAGACTTCATTCTTTGGACCCCGATGATCCGTGTTTAAATTTTAATTCGATCAGAAAAAATATCCTGCTTCTTTCAATATGAGTAACTCGTCATGTTTTTATCAGAACAAAAATACTTGCATGTAAAATTGAAATCGACATGCATTAAGCATCGGAAAATTAATCAAAGTTTAGAAAGAAAAAGTACTCGAAAATGATGTTAAGACACATTAAAGCAGGAAACAATGACACATCACGGAATTTTTCAAGAAAAGTTTATGGTGCCAGTTGGGAAATATTTCTCTCGACATTTCAAGAAATTTGAGTAAAATCTGTACGTATCATTTTTTAAATATAAAAAATCATTCATTCATGTTTGTTTCATCTATGCTGGGCAGTCATTCGGCTATCACAGATGCAGGATGATTGAGTTGGATATTTTAGAATATGTACTCGTATTGTGTTCATGATCTCGACGAGGGATTGAAAAGCTGGCATTGCCACAGATTCACAGACGTCAAAGACAAGGATTGGTTCAACGAAACGTTGGTCGGTCTGGTAGACAAAGAGCTGGGCAAAGCTTATGGGGACATGATCAGGGACACGTCGTATTTCGTGGACTTCCTGCGGGATGCGCCGGAGCCCACCGGGGACGAGCCGGAAGCGGAAACGGAAGTGGAAATGCCGAAAATTTACGAGCCCTTGCCCAACTTTTCTTTGCTCGAGGAACGCCTGAGAATGTTTCTGGCGCAGCACAACGACATGGTTCGCGGCAGTGGCATGGATCTCGTCTTCTTCAACGACGCCATGTGTCATATCTTGAAGGTGATGATAAAGTCGAATCTTTGCTCGAGGAACGCCTGAGAATGTTTCTGGCGCAGCACAACGACATGGTTCGCGGCAGTGGCATGGATCTCGTCTTCTTCAACGACGCCATGTGTCATATCTTGAAGGTGATGATAAAGTCGATCCACTCTTTTTGCGACATCTTGTTTCGAAAAATATAAATATTTCAAAAATATCTATGCTGGCTCTGCTGTTGAGGGGTAAAGTGGAACCCCCATATCCATTGGGTACTGACATCTGATAATCATTAGCATGTTCACAAACCTTCATTATGCATGTAAATGAGCTCAAAAACAGATTTCGAACATTATTTATTCTCATTTGAATATGTTCTGGCGTTCATACAATTTTTCTTGAGAATATAAGGCTAGTACTCGCTGCTTCACCGAAAGAAACGAAATTTGTTTGATTAGGCCTAAATAGAGCGCAGCCTCAAAAATTAATCCTTTGATTTTAGAAGGTGTTACTTGAAAACCATGGATTTGGTTTTTCTGAAAACCTAGTTCCCAAAGTCCTGAGGAACTTTCAGAACTTTGCAAATCTTTTCACTGAATCATAATTTTTTTCCTTTCTTTCGAAAGTTATAAAAACGTTATAAAATTGAAACTGTTTATTTGCATGTATGTCGTGGGCTTATGCTAAAGCATTTCAACATGATTTTCGAATCATTCAAATGATTTTACTGCATCTAAAAAATATTCATGAGACACCATGTGCGTGTACAGTGAATTCAAAAATGTCTCAAATATTTTTGTTCGATGCAGTAAAATCCTTTGAATGATTCGAAAATCCTATTAAAATACGGTACTTTAGCATAAGCCCACAGCATATATGCACATAAAAAGTTTCAATTTTGTAACATTTTTATAACTTTCGAAGGAAGGAAAAAAATTAAAAATCCGCGACCGGTCGTTAAGGGGGTCTGTAATTGTTGAGAAAGGGGGTTTTGATAACCAACTGCTGTTTTAAAGCAAATTGGTTGTTAACCCAGTCTGTTATATATATTTTTTAATAGAAGCCAGCTGTGGAAACTCAGAAAAATTGGACTCTAATAATAATGATTTCCCGCTAAGACAGTACTTCTTGATGTTCTCGGTCAAATTCGATGGATAGATGATTATTTTCGGCGCTTAATATTTTTGCAACAACACTTGTATTGAAGGGCTGTTTTTGTTTAAAAGCTTGGGTAAGGTTCGATGATTCAAATTCTGAATTTCTCTACTGAACAATTGCGCAGATATCAAGAATAATTCGGAATCCTGGAGGCAACGCGTTGCTCGTGGGAGTTGGCGGTTCGGGAAAGAAGTCATTGACGCAATTGGCGTCATTCATCGCTGGTTACAAAACCTTCCAGATTACTCTTTCAAGGTCCCGAGCACGTCTGAGTAGAATTTCTCAACCGGATGTCCCATAAAAAGGAATTCTCATTCGATTTAAGCAGAACTTACAACATGAATAACTTCCTCGAGGACCTGAAAGTATTGTACAGGACTTGCGGCATCCAGGGCAAAGGAATGACTTTTCTCTTCACCGACCAGGACATCAAAGAAGAGGGATTCTTGGAGTACCTCAATAATGTGCTTTCATCTGGTGAATATCACTCGAATTTTGCGCGAAATCAAAATTTTATAGGTAGAATCATGAATTTCGAAACGTGCGTTATGAAGGTTATTTTTTTGAATACGATATTTAAAAAAATTGAGAGCGTCTGAGAACTATTTGAAAATGGGGAAAACAGAGCGAGAGAAAAAACCATTCGATCACGGAAGATCACTAAGAAACTCAATCAACTCGCAGAAATCTAATATTTTCTTTCATTTTGATGGTTTCAGCCCACGTAACCAAAATGAATCATCGTCTGACTACGAGGAACTGGTGTTTAAAAAAATGGCGAAAAACAATGCCATGAAAAAGATAGAAAAATAGAATATTTCTGATTAAAAACCACGGATCATTTTATTAATTTTCGTCCTTTTATTAAAGTGATACGCATTTAATGTGTACAATATTGAAAAATGGATCCTAACCCTAATTTTTTGACACAATAAAGAAAGTTGGTGTTATTTATCGGCTTGTTTTTTTAAAGCTCTTTCTTGCATAAGTGCGATTTTATGCTTTCGCTGATTTTTAACTGCGCGGATTTGGGACACGCTCAGCAATCCGGTCACGGTTTATGTCACAACACTTTTTGTAGGTCGAGTTTCAAACCTGTTCAACCGAGACGAGCAAGGTGAGATAATCGTGGAATTGATTCCAATAATGAAGCGAGAACATCCACGTTCGGCCCCGACGCCGGAAAACGTGCTGGACTTTTTTGAGACCCGAGTTCGACAAAATCTTCATGTCGTCCTGTGTTTTTCACCGGTGCGTTTCGATGTACTAAAACACATGAGAAATGAGCATGGAGGATACAATATAGAAGTAGACACTTTTTTCAACCGAAAAATTGAAATTTCCAGGCGCACAAGGTGGAAAAAGTTGTGACATTTTGATCCTTCCATGAAATGGCCTGTAATTCAATGATGCTCACATAAATTAAGTGATAAAAAGAACAATATTTCAGACCCTTTATTTTGAAGTGCACATGCTGGAAAGGCCATTGAAAAGCTTTTACTTGCCCCGAAGTAAAATTATTCGCGTTCTATTTGCCCCTGTGCAAACAGGTCATGAAAATGTAAAAATATTTCTGGAGAACTCCGATATGCATCATCAACAGTACTGTATCTTAATAATTTTGTCCGATCGGTGATTTGCTTGGCATTTATAAATATGCGGAAATAAGACAGTCCGCATAAAATTCCATGAAACTTTCAGAACACAGTATAGAAATAAAATTGGAACCCTCTCTGCTGGTGCCTTTTTTGTTTGTTAACCAAACATGTCTGCTAACTAAAATAACACAACTACAGATTCATAAAATAATCATTCAAACGATAGTTGTATCAGTTGGTCGGAAATTTTTTACCTAGTCTTCAGAAAGATATTTCCATCGTTCCCGAGATTTTATAGTTCAAAAATCTTTTTCGACATTTCTTTCTTGTCTACCCCGTAAATTGCATTCGGAAAATCCCTTCCACGCTTCTGATAATGATTAATAAAAAACGAATAAATTGGATTGTTCTGTGGAGCAGGTGGGCGAGAAATTCCGGAACCGTGCCAACAAGTTCCCTGGGCTGTTCTCGGGTTGCACCATCGACTGGTTCCAGCCTTGGCCGCGAGACGCTCTCATTGCAGTTGCCCAACACTACCTCAAAGAGTTCGAAATGATCTGCACACCAGCTGTGCGCCCTAGCCTGGTCAAAGCCATGGCGAACACGCAAGAGGTCGTATCTGACCTTTGCATTGAATATTTTGAAAGGTACTGCTGCGAGAGGGGGAAAAAAATAAGGCTCCTTCAAACGAACTAATTTCACGCGCGTCTATTTCCGATTTTCGGAAAATCAAACTGGAAAACGAGCACTTGAAAATACTGTACTGTATAACTATCAATGCGAGGGTTGTTTCATAAGGTTTTTGAGACTTTTTGGCATAGATCAAACGGAGTTTCAAAAATTCAAAAGAAAATGTTCACTCGCATAGCCCCATTATTTGGTAACAGTTCAGCGCCGTTCAACTTACTCTCCGCCAATTTTAATTATTTTTTCCGTGCAATAAGTCCAGCGATCAAAACAATGTCAAAAATCGAGTTCTGTTGATTTTTTAAACGCCCTGTGATTTTGGCTGTTCCCGGCAGTGAAGAACGATCTGATAAGGTTTTGATTTTGAGGACAGGGACAGCCTCATTTTTGCCGTTGATAAAGAACAGCGCAATCAACTAAATGAACTCGATTTTTGGCACTGCTTGATAATTTAACCTATGAATTTGCTCACGATATAAAGTATGACCAAGTGAAATGTTTCTCTGTACAGTACTGTATGCATGTATGGTTTATAAATTGGCACTGTAGTTGCTGGTACAGTGGAACAACTACACAAGGGAAAGTTCACAAGATAAAACTGTACAACAAAGTTCATTCGCTACTTGACTTGTGTCAATTTTGGCCTCAAAAATAAAGGAACTTCGTGCTTGATAAAATGTTGAACAAAACTCTTACATTCAGAAACATTCGCATAAAACCGTAATTTCCGAAATTGGAACATGGTTCTCAGACCTGGGGCATCATATTTGTTTCTTAATTAAATCAAAATGTGAAATACAGTATATTCAGTACCACTTGGAGTGTCTGATAATTCAAGGAGCATGCAAGGGAGCTAAAATCCCCAATTACTCGACAAAGATTACATTGAAATAAATTGTACAAGTGGTCAGAAAATGACTAGACATTATTAACTGAAAATTAAATCCATTAAAAAGCCTTCAATAATTTGATTATATTGGATCGATAATGCTTACGCACGACCCCTCACATTTTTTGTTGTTGCCGAAAACCGCCTCAAGCAATCAGCAAGACCCTGAAATAATTACTGTTTCATCCACCGAGTTCTTTGTCTAAAGCAATTTAGAGAATGTTGACATAGCCTGTTGAACTGAATTCATTGTTTTAATTGTGTCTGGTTATGTCCGTGCTTTTTACTTTACCTTTTGAATTTATAATAGATAAGCTGGGGGTGCCCATAGCCACACCTGGACATGAAACTTTTCCAAAAGTTGCCCAATATGTTCGAATTTTCAAGCAATCATCAGGTTCACGTGTTATTTTACCTTTATGCCTACCTTTTAATTCCCCTTTTAAATTTATAATAGACTCCGTCGATCTGCTCACGTGACTCCGAAATCCTTCATGACCTTCCTCAACTTGTACAAGAGCGTTTACAGCAAAAGGTACTCGGAAATTGCGGAATTGGCCGAAAGAATGGACCATGGCCTCGGAAAGCTTCAAGAGGCTTCAACCTCGGTATCCCAGCTGAAAGCTGAGCTTTTCGTCATGGAGAAAGAGTTGGAAATTGCTTCGGCGAAAGCAAACGAGGCGGGATATAATGACATAAATGCTTTGTTTGAACTACCTGTAGTTGAAGATCTGTTCTCTAATCACCCAGGTTCTCACCGAGGTGACGGCAAAGGCGAAAGAAGCCGAGACAATTAGGAACCAGGTCAGAGTGAAGAAGGATGATGCGCAAGTGTTGGTTGATATCATCGCAGCTGACAAGGCCTGGGCTGAGCAGAAATTGGAAGCTGCTAGACCAGCACTGGAAGAAGCCATTTCTGCTCTGAACACCATCAAACCTGCTCATATTGGTGAATCAGAATTCATTTCGTTTAATTTTCAGAAAAAATGACTTTAATACTGCGCGCTTAAATATGTCGCGCATATTCCTTTGATACCTTGCAAGACTCAACCTGACGTCAGGTGACCTGACCTGATGCGGTACCGAAGAATACGGTCAGCTTGTCTCAGAGGTCATTCATAATGACCTATAGACATAAATAAAGCAGCTCTAAAATGTTTTAAATCTTTGATGTTGCATATTACAGTTCGACATTGATAACTCTGGCCTTCCAGAGTAAAAAAACCCTCAAACGTCAAATGTTTGCTTATAGCCCCAGTCTGCTGGTTTCTGTCTAAAAAAATTTCAACCTCAGATCTCTAAAACACAAATTTTGGAGGTTTTGCGGCTATTATTCTGCAGACCCAGGAAATAGAAACTCAATAAAAATGTCACTTGATGCTTTTCGTCGCAAAGTAAGTGAGTGACTTATATTGAGCGAATAAACTTTTCCCGCTGAGTCCAGCATCTTTTCAATTTATTTGACCAGCTGTTCAAGGCTTAAAAATAAATTTTTCAACTTCCTAAAATGCCCAATTTTTCTCCCTCTGACAATGGTAAATTTTCCCGACTCAAAAACTCCGTAAGTCGAAGTTTCCCGCGGTCCCCTTATTGGAGCTTGACTTATAGAGGTTTTACTATATCTAGTATACCCATGTCAAACGCCATTTTCCACCCATAAACTTGGCATGTTAATTTTCTTGAATGTCTTAAAGGTATTTACGCATTATAAATTTCAAAATGCCAACTTCAACTGAAATGAATCCAGCCCGGAGAAAGCAACTCATAATTTCATTTAAAATTTTTGGAACTTGTCCTTCTTAGCAAAAGACTTGATAAAAGTTTAAAAAAAACCTGCCCGCAAAGTCAATATGCTTTAAAATCAACAAAAATCCCATTGACTAAGGCAAAATATAAAACACTAATCCTGAATTTTTAATGCATTTTTCTTTGGCAGTGGACGCCTCAGTGCCAAGAACAACTCAGCGTTAAAAAAACCTCATTAGCAAGAGAAAAAAACGGGGTTGTCTCAGACGCTGAGTTGGGTTACGCTCAGCAGTCGTCCACTCACACTTGCACCAAGAATCCTTGCCCACTTCGTGTGTTGCAGAATTTAAACCTCAATTTGCATCCGGATGTATCCCGGGTCGGGACACGAATTCAAATCAACGCAATTACCCATAAGATGAAGCTCTCGAATAAATTATCATGCCCGTGAATGCAACTCGTCGCTCTCATCCCCGCGTTTCCTCCGCTTATAATTACTGTATATTCATGGCGGGGAAAATATTTCAAGTTCAATCAGAGCAAACTGCATAATGGTTAGCGCTCAATTCTCGCCGCCGCGTATTAGTATGGCGTGTGGGGCACGTCTGCATTCATATATGTAGGCTCGGGAAACCGGGATATTAATTGCAATGCCCAGGCGAATGCTTGCGGGTCGTTGCTTGCTCGTTAATCCTAATGAGGTGTTTATTCGGGTGCTTGATTGCCCGCGACAGCCACGGTCCGGAAGCTGGGCAGGCCGCCGCATCTGATTATGCGAGTGCTGGATTGCGTGCTGATCTTGTTCAAGACCCGACTGCATCCCGTCACACCGGATGGACTGTTTGCGTGTCCAAGGCCCTCGTGGTCCGAGTCCCTGAAAGCGAGTGCTCGTCGAATTGCATTCGAAAGAAACTCATTACGCAGGCTCTTTTATTTCCAACAACAAATAGGACAGAAACAGAAAATTGAATATACATTTGCTCGCGTTTTTAGTTTCTGGCGAGCACGAATTTCCTGCAAAATCTGGAACGATTCCCCAAGGACACGATGAACGACGAGGTGGTTGAGCTCCTGGAGCCGTACTTCATCATGGACGACTACAACATGGAAACTGCGCTGCGGGTTTGCGGCGACGTGGCTGGGTTGCTTTCCTGGACGAAATCCATGGCGTTTTTCTATGGAGTCAATAAAGAAGTCTTACCCCTCAAGGTAAATCGCCGAATTCATGCCCCCAGATTGGCCGCACTTAATTTTGCTTCCCCTGCGCGGATGGAAATCAAGGACATGCGGCCAACACTTGAGATATCGAGGACGCTACGCTATTCAATCTCTGTGCACATTTTTATCCAGATAATGCGATAAATTTAGTTTGAAAAAAAATCGGGAAATAAGCTCTAAACTGGCTCCTTTTGTCTGAATATGAGATACAGCACTGCAACATCCGATTATGTTCATCAGCGCTGCCGTTTTTGAGTGAAAATATTTAAAAATGTCGTCTGGGTATAAATAGCACAGTATCCGCAACATGTGCCACACATATTGTATTCCAAAATTTTGCTGTGGTTCTCGGTGACTCCCCCTGAAATTTGCAGTCAAAATCCGATTGCAGCCTATTTTCGCAAATTTATGACTGATCGATCATTGGCTCTTTGAGAATCCCAACGCCCTCACTAAACTTTCACATCTTTTACATCTCAGAACGTCGGACTTCCCTATAATTCCAAACATCCCATGTGCACCTGTGAAAGTATTCAAGAAATTTATGGAAATGCTAGAGGATTTTTTATTTGATGGGAATTCTGAATAAAATGATACTGTATATCGGAAAGTTATGAATAAAGTGCGAGTAATAAGTCACGACTGTTACTTTTACGACGACGAGAAGCCTGACTGTCTCATCCTGGTGAAACAAAATATTATTCAAAACGGTTACTGTTTTATTGCTATGCATAATTTCAAAACCCGAAGACGATTAATTCCTTTCTCCCAGAGAATGTGCCGATCAAATTCACATCAAACACAGCACAGCTGAATAAATTCCATGGATTTCTATACAATATGTCGAAATTTCCGGACGATGTGCTGCTGAATAAACAAGCGAGAAAATAAAATATCCTCAGGCAAATTTGGCGATGCAAGAGGCCAGATTGGCTCTGGCGATGGCAGATTTTAGCACAGCCGAAAAAGAACTTCGCAGCAAGGAAGTGGAAGTCAGTCGCGTGCGAGACTGGTATTCCAAGGCGGTTGCAGAACGGGAGCGCCTCTGTGAGGCGGCCCTGACTTGCCGCCGTAAAATGAACGCCGCGGAAACGCTGATCAATGGGCTCGTTGGCGAGAAAGTTCGCTGGACCAGTCAAAGCAAGGCTTTCAAGGATCAAACGAAAAGGTGCCGTATTCAATTCTTCGAAAATCAATTATATTCTTGAATTAGCTTCCCCCTCCCCCAAAAAATATATAGCATTATTTTCCGAACGTATTTCCTGAAATGTTAAAAGACAATCACCGTCGTGATTTAAGACGGAATCCTGCTATTCCCACCTTTGAAAAATTGGGGTAATTATTTGGGGTCAAAGGCGATGACGCACACTTTCATTTCCTTCAATATTTCCTCAGAATTTTGATAGTCTATAAACTGAGGAGTTATATGATAGAAATTATAATCCTAATTCTTGCGACACTGAAAAGATTTTTCAGAATGTAAACAATTCATTTTTAGGCTTTATTTCCGTTCCAAACAAATGCTTGGCGAAGCATTCAACTCACCTTTTAAATTAGTGAATATAAAAATCCGTTTTACGTAAAATGCCACCCACACTGTGCTCGTGTAAGATGCGCCCTGATTTTTCACAGCCAACTTTATTTTTATTTTCAGAAATTAAGTTCGTTCTGCACCTGAGAAACTGTCATTCCTGTATATGAATAAAAACTCTTTCGAGGCGTAAAGAGGAAAATTTTCAGCTTTCTTCGATTTATGGGCCATAATTTCTTCTTTATTTGAGAGAAAACCTGCAGCCTGGACAAATTATATTTTTTCTATTCACATGTCTCGAAAATGATTTTTAAGCTGCTCCATATATGTACTGTAGTTCGCCTTTCTTCTCTAAAAGTGATATTTATTTTGGCATTCCTGGTTTTGGTTATAGGCATTTGCACCCTGAAACTTCACTGAACCTTCAGACAAAGTTTGTGGAAAAAGAACTTTCGTGTACTAGTACTGGATATATCTGAACTCTTTTTGCAACTTTTGTGAGGGGCAATTTTAAATTTTCGAAAAAATTGAGTATTACAAAAGATATTAAAGAAAGAAAAAAAACACTACAGTTACAATTGCCAGGAAAAATGATTGTTTTTTATGAGAATCCTCTTTTATAAATAAGATATCACTGCTTCTTCAATTCTTTCCAGTCCGCAAAATGATCAAACATTTAAAACCCAATTTTTAGACATAACTTCCTGTCCATCTGGCCCTTCAAAAAAAAAAAATCACTACGCCTCATTCTTTAGAGCTCCGTCTGGTGTCGGATGTTCATTGAAATGTTTTGATAATAAACGATAGAAAATTTCCCTATCCCACGATGAAAAATTTTCCCTTCGAGAATTTAAGAAAAAATTGCGCTAATTTCTTGATCACCCAAAAGGTTGATTGGTGATGTGGTCATCGCGACTGCCTTTATTTCTTACGCTGGGCCCTTCAACCAAGAATTTCGTTCGAGATTGATGCACAGTTGGCAAGAAATCATTCGAACTCGTGATATTCCTTGTTCAGACGAAATTAATGTCGTCGGAATGCTCGTCGATCCTCCAACGGTTTGTATAGCCTCGAAGAGACGAAAAACGGGTCTATCATTATTCTTTGAAGATTGGGCTCTTATACTTCTACCCATTCCATTGATTGATTCAGATTTCCGAGTGGCATTTACAAGGTCTTCCGAACGATGAATTGTCCGTTCAAAACGCTGTGATTGCCACTAAAGCCTCGTGTTTTCCCCTGCTGATTGATCCACAAGGTCAAGGCAAGCTGTGGATCAGAAATCGGGAAATTTCCAACGATTTGCAAGTGAGATTGAAAGCGAAACTAGAAAATCATAATGAGAAAGTACTTCAAAAATTGCTCGCAATTTCAAAATAACCTTGATTTCTCGAACTTTGGATGACTGCTCATACTTCAGGTCATCAAATTAAGCAGAAAAAAGCCGAAAAATCTTATTTTAAACTCCGGCCGTGAATGAAGGACTTAATTTCGAAGTCCCCGAGAAATCGAGATCAAAATTCGATTATCTGGAAGCCAACGAAATAAAATGATGGCCAAGAGAAAAAAATTGATGAGAAGGAAACGAGGGACGAAAGAGGAAAATTTCCTTTGAAAAGTTCATTAAGGTTACCTTGAAAATTTATATCTTTTCCAGATGCAAGCGCATTTTGGGGTAAAGTAATGTTTTCTTTTTTTATGAAGTTTCTTAATCTTCAAATTTTCTGAGTTTTGAATATCCGACCAAGGGCATACGATCATTAGTCTGATACATCGATTTTTCCTGTGTTTATACATTTTCCGCTTGAGAAAAGGCCAAAATTGCTCCATTTAAGCTCCACTGATTTTATAAAAAAAATGGCATTGACTTGGGTATTGGACAACGTTGTAGTTTCTGAACGCTTTCTTCCAAAGTGAGGAAACATTTCAATACTGTATGGTGCTTGCACATAAAAACCTGGTTTAATTGCCCTACTTTCTAGATAACCTCGTTGGGGCACAGGTACTTCAGGACTCATCTGGAAGATTCGCTTTCGCTCGGAAGACCATTACTGATTGAGGACGTTGGCGAAGAATTGGATCCAATATTGGACAATTTATTGGAGAAAAACTTCATAAAGTCTGGAACTATTGAAAAGGCACGCATGGCACTTTTTCTCGTCCAACATTTTTTTTTCGAATCCACGAGGTGTGATAAAACGCAAATACAGGATATTGACGCATACTTGGGTTGGTTCAAAGGTATGCTCAGTATTTTGCTTACTTTGATCAACATCGGTGAATGGATGTGAGTTTTACGAAGTAATAACTTCCCCACAGGCTGAAAAAGGAGAAAAAACTTAATATTTAGAGTGAACTTCATATGCGTCAAAATAAGGTACTTCTATACCGTACTAGTATCACTTGATTAGTGGTCTACTCTACCAGATAATTCAATTGAGTGAAAAATCTTAAATCGCCTTTCTGCCACTCATTGAAGCGATGCTCTTATTGAGCCTCTTCATGACTAAATTCTTCAAACAAGAAAGGGTAGCTGGGCTATTTCAATATTTGTGCACATGTTCATTAATAGGTAGGTTGTCATGAAAATTTGAACTGGTGAGAAGTAATATTTATTTCCAAGCTCAGTTGTGAAATGAAGAATTTTTGGCGAGTGAACTGAGGTTTTGCATTCTTAATGATCTCACAGTGCTTTCATAGCTGATCTATCTAAAAAAATATTTAGAATCCTTTTCAGCCAGCCAATGCTGACGAGGCTTTTGGACCAAACCTTGTACAGTATTTGCATGCGAAATTCAAATTATTGATTTTAAAAATGCGGACAAGGAGCGAGTTTTGGGATTTTTTCTTACAAAATTGCAGTCATTTAATTTAGAAATTTCGGAAACGAACAGGTAGTCGTTGGTGATAAGGAATTCGACATCGTGCCCGGCTTCACGTTGTATTTGACGACGAAGATGTCCAATCCGAGTTTCACGCCGGAGACGAGTGCTAAAACAGCGGTCATCGATTTCACCGTCACTATGAAAGGCCTTGAGGACCAACTGCTGGGTCTGGTCATCGATTCCTCAATACACACACAAAAAAATAGAAAATTTTTAATTCTTTTATTTTTATTTTTATATGCGTAACAGGCCGAGTCATTTTGACGGAGAAAAGCGAACTCGAGGCGGAACGAGTGGCTCTGGTTGAAGACGTCCTCGACCACAAACGGACCATTCAGCAGCTCGAGGACAATTTGCTTTCGAAGCTAACATCGATCGAGGTAATTTCATGAATAACGACGTCAAATGAGGACTCTTGATATCCTTTGAAGAGACTTCAGAGAACAATGTCTTCAGAGGGTACATAAAGGACAAGTTTTGTCCGTACTATATATTCCAGGATCGATAGGAGCATTTCATATTGGCGGAAACATCATTTCAGACTTGACACCAAGTTTTCGAGTCAACTGATTAATGATTTTCGGACTGTTGGAGAAACCTTGATGTGAATAATGCCATTGCAGTATTTACTTTGAGTCATCACAGATTCTGTCGGAAATTATCTTTGAAAACAGATTTTCTTTTGTTATAATCCAGATAAAAAAATTATAGCAACTAAGAGTAAACCAATTTCATAGGCTTGTTCAATTATCCCACATTTTTTAGTTAGCAAACAGAAAATTCTGGCCCAAATTCTGTATTTTGATTCATTCTCCAGCAGAAACTTTTCCTTTAACTAATCAATTGTGAGAGCAGCAAGTATCGCAGAATCTTTTTCTCTGAGCAATTCTTGAAAAATCGGATAGAAAAGCTGATTTACGCTGCTGAAAAAGCGCCGAATAGAGAGATACGTGAAATATACTAAACCGGAAATATAATTTAAAATAGGTCAAATATTTTGAAATTTTTATATGGCATGTTTCTTCCGAAACATTTTTCTTCATATTTTATGCTGATTATAGAAACCCAAAGAAAGCCATTCCTGAGCAACGTCCTCAGAAATATTGAACGACAATAATTTGGGGTTGTTGTTTCAAGTGTGGGAACTTCAGCGATACAATTGACAGACAAATTTGAAACGCAATCATCCATTGCAAATGTGAAGAGCTAAAGCAAAGTTCCCCACCCTTTCTGGTCCCACAGACCAGCAAATTTCCATAACATCTTCTGCAGACGCAAATTTTCACGAACAAAAATTTGACGACCATCAGGTTTCATAAAAGTTTGCATACTCAAAAAAGTTGTGTTTGAAAAACTTCATGGCATGTATTAAAAAAGTTTATGCTTTTTTGAAAAATCAAGTTATACCAGTAAATCAGCATATAGTGGAATGTCTTCAAATAATTAGAAAGGTGGGCATGAAGAAAGGTTTATCAGAATGAAAAAATACCATGATTTATTTCAACAGGTGAAAATTTGTCTGAAATGTATAAAAAGAAAATCCAACTTATATTTTTCATCTGATAATTTCAACTGCCATTGTCTTTCCGAAATTCCAGATAAAGATTACAGACTTCATTTTTAATAATCGGATACATTTTTATCATAGTGAAGAAAATTTCCCTCAGACCCTCACGATTGTCTTTCCGAAATTCCAGATAAAGATTACAGACTTCATTTTTAATAATCGGATACATTTTTATCATAATGAAGAAAATTTCCCTCAGACCCTCACGCAAAAAAAACTTCTGCAGACTGGCGCCGGGTCCGCGGACCACGGGTTGGAAACACTGATCTAAAAGATACCCTTTCTAAAATATTGACGCAGACGTGAAGTCCACATTTTCATGTCTGTCTTTTTATAAATGCCGAAATTTAGGGATCGTTGGTCGACGACGAAGAGTTGATTGCCGTCCTTGCGAGCACGAAAGCCACTGCGCAAGAAGTGTCCCAAAAGTTGAAAATCGCTGCTGATACGGAGAGGAAAATCAATCAAGTGCGCGAAGAATTCAGACCCGTGGCGAAACGAGGCTCCACGCTATACTTCCTCATTGTGGAAATGAGCAACGTCAACGCCATGTATCAAACGTCGTTGCGACAGTTTCTCTTCTTGTTCGAGCTGTCCATGTCCAGGTAAAATTGTTTCTCCTTATATATATATATATCTTTCCGAAATGATGGATTCCGTGCCCATCGAGATGATTTCCGAGCTGACGCAATCGCTGATGAAAAAAAGTGAACGAAACAATAATGATATTTACACAAACCCTGTCAGAGCTGCGAGCAGCAACATGACTTACGCACGGATCTGCAACATCATAAATTACATGACGTCGTCAGTGTGGAAATTCGCGTCTCGAGGATTTTACGAACGCCACAAATTTCTCTTCACGTTACTCCTGGCCGTCAAAATTGACCTGCACACGGAAAAAGTGACTTTTGAGGAATTCATGACTCTCATCAAAGGTAAAGTGGTCTTGAAATTGTAGAACCCGTCATTTCAAAACGTCGCGTGACTTTCTGGAATAATTTTTTTAGGTGCTGCGTTATTCTAACAATAACTAAACCGCTCTTGAGAAAAAATTAGGAAACAATGATTATAGCATATTATGTTCGGAATTGATCATTCTGGAGGGGAAATATAATATCTAGATAATTAAAACTTTAGCTCTTATTCTCATAGTATATTTTTTGATTCGGTCGGAAATCGGCTTTTGCATTTCGCAAGAATTTTTTCAAGAGCGCCGCAAGTTTCTCTTCACTTCACTGTTGGCTGTCAAGATTGAACTGCACACGGAAAAATTTACTTTTAAGGAATTTATGAATCTCATCCAAGGAAATTTGGACTTACTGACATGGTGGAAAAATCCATTTCAGAACGCCGTGTGACTTTCTAAAATTATTATTGCAGCTGCTGCGGTATTCGAACAATGCCTGAATCAATCTTGAGAAAATTAGGAAACAATTACTGTATTATACTATGCTTAAAATTTAACGCATAATCATAACGAGGTATACACATCAAATCAGGTTCACTGAGAGGTTGGGACGCGTCTTGTCAAAATACGTCAGCATATTGATCAAAGTAATAAAAAATATTATGCTGTCTAGTACGTGCTTGTTGCTTTATTCCGAACAGTTTGGTGGTATTTTATCCTTAGCCTGGAAATGTATGTTCGAAATCTTCGATAATGCTTAAATTACTGTACTTGAATACCCGAATTCACAAACTTTGGATAAACATCAAAAAATGCACGAATTTTCAAATCCGCGAGAGCTGAGGAGTTCTCATTCTTACAAATCCATTTCATGAACACTGCATGAAAAAGAATGACCAAGATAGGATTAAAATTCGTGGTTTTATTTATTTTTTCATGAATGTTGAGATCCTGCAATTTATAGAATATGTCAGCAAGCATTGCTTTTTTTATTGTGCAATCAATTCTAATTCACGTTTGCATGCTTGAAAAAAAATGTTCCAGAGCCTTACACTTATTTAATTAAACCTCTTTCAAAAACTAGGTGGGGCCTCACTGGATCTGAAGAATGTCCCAACAAAACCACATAATTGGATTTTAGACGTAACATGGCTCAACATCGTAGCACTGAGTCGGTTGCCGGCATTCAAGGGCATCTTGAAACACGCAAGTCTCATTTCTCCAGCGACATTTAATTTCTTCAGACGAGGATTTCTTCCGTCTGGCCTTCTTTTTCGAAATTGCTTGCTTCTACGTATATAGGATATACTAGTGCAAGTGACCTTATTTTTTTTTAAACAGATCAAAGAACACGAAAAGGAATGGAAGGAATGGTGGGAACACGAAGCTACGGAAACCCGGACGTTGCCAAGCAATTACAGTCAGACTTTGGATGCATTCCGGACGTTGTTGCTCATACGGTCTTGGTGTCCTGATCGAACCTTGTTTCAGGCGAAAATCTACGTCGAAAGTAAGCGAGACATTTGAGAAATGCATTTAATTGAATTTCCTGGATCGCATTTGAACAGAAAAAAATTTGCGCCAAGAACCTGTTGGAGATACTCTCGCTTGTGGATATGGACAAGAATTCGATTGACATTGTTTTTTTTTAATACTTTCTCGCTTTACTAAAACACAAAATTTGTTCATATTTAGAATCTTTACGATTTCTTCATGGTGAATTTTTCGGGATTCTGCTTTGAAAACAGCAGCATTATCCTTTGAATTATAATTTTGTAAAGGAAAATAATGTGATATGCTTTTGTTTTATTAAATTATTGCCTCTTGATACATTCGTTCGTAAATTTACATACTAGTATTTTTTGCTTGAATTTGAACACGCTATCTTGTCTTCAAGATGGCTTGATTGTACGATCATTTGATTGTATCACAATTTACAGTTTATATGTATACTTTTTCTTGTTTTTTTTCATCCTTACCTTTATAGTCAATCAAAAAGTGGCAGCACTTTTGAAAATTGCGAATGGGATTTTTTCGCTTTTTTCTGATTTCATGTATTTCTTTAGGATACTTTTCACAAATATTTTCTCGTTAAAAAAAATCTGCAGATTCGCTGGGGGATGAATTCAGAGACGTTCCGATTTTAGACATGGATGAAATGTGCGCTGAAAGTGACAGCAGAACCCCCTTGATTTGCTTGTTGTCACTTGGTGCTGATCCAACTTCTCAGATCGAAGCCTTGGCTAGAACAAAGGACATAGGTAAAAAAAATATTTCCAATCAGAAACTTTTCATTTCATCTGACTGACAAATGCATTCCTTCGTCGTCATTTCGTCAGTTCTTCGATCGGTGTCGATGGGCCAAGGGCAAGAACACACTTCCAGGAAGTTGCTGAACGAGTGTATGACAACTGGGCACTGGGTGCTACTGCAAAATGGTCATTTGTCGCTTTCGTTTTGCGAGGAACTCGTTGAAACGGTGAACGAGACCCCTGCGATTCATCCCAACTTTCGGTTGTGGTTGACGACCGAGTATCACACGGAATTCCCAGTGGCTCTGCTACAAGTAATGTCCATGGATTATGTGAAATTTATGTGAAAAAATGTAAAAAAAAAACAACTTTTGTGTGCTTTTTGTTGCTTCCAGATGTCTATCAAGTTTACGAATGAACCCCCGCAAGGGGTAAAGGCCAGTTTGAAGCGAACTTACACCACGATGAGTCAAGATGTTTTCGAATACAGCAGCATTCCGCAATGGCAACCGTTGCTGTTTTCTGTCTCGTTTCTTCACACTATCGTTTTGGTAGGGAAATATGCATAATCTTCTGATAGTTGAACTATTCATTCGATCGGAAAATGAGCAATTTTCTTTGAATGACTGCTGGGAGTCTGGATTTATTCAGGAAATTACACTACAATTCAATCTCACATCAACAAATTCGGAAAGCCTCACACAGATTCATTGATGAATTTTCACCACCAGATAGCTATGCACTTTCATGCTCGCATGAGCATAATGACATTGTCATCATAATAAAAATGTTATTTATATCTGCATGAAAATTGCGATTGTATAGGAGAGGAGAAAATTCGGACCTTTGGGTTGGAACGTTCCATACGACTTCAACCAAGCGGATTTTATTGCTTCCGTCAGAGCAATCCAAAATCACGTCGACGATTTAGATCTCAAAAAGGTAGGTGATTCGCATTATGATTTTGAAGCTAATTTTAATTCGATACTAGAAAAAAAACACGGCTTGAAATTTTTACAAATTTTGATCTCTTTCAATTTACAAATTCGGTTGGCCTTCCAACCCATTTGGTGGTTGTCGGAACTGGTTGATATTTATGCCCCCCCCCCGTCGCAAAAACCTGAAAAACCTCTAAATTAATGCACACGGATATTTTAATCTCAATTTGATGAATGAAGTAAAACGTTTTCGGAAAATTCTTATCATACTGGTACTTTCATGGATTTAAAAGGGAGTGCCTTATTTTTCAGAGTTGATGAAAAACAGTTTTATCCCTTGGACGGCAAAGGGTCCCTGGCCATCCTGCAGCAAATTCCAGTTTTTTTGGGGGGCGGGGGCATTTCTGTTTGACAAAGTTCACTGAAATGCCCTTAGGTTGCTAAGTTGGAAAAAATTTGGGTGCAGAAAATTCCATTGTCCCAAGTAATCCCAAAGTTAATCCTTTGCTGGGAGTGCATGAAAAAACGCCATTCAGTGAGGAATTTTATTTTTTATTTTTGGCAAATTTTCTGCAGGATTTTAAAAGATATGGGACTTTCTCCTGACTTAGGCCTTGGTTTAAAAATGTTAATTTTTAATTTGCAGCCCTCATAGGAATAACATTTTGCAAAAATATCCTGAATTTTTTTCACAAGGGTTAAACAGTAAAAAAAATAATTCCGATGAGAGCAAGTAATTGGAGGCCAAAATTGGACAATCTTATCAAATGTTCTAGCAGCCTTACTGTACTAGAATTTATGCTTAAAGTTGTTGTTTCAATTCCCGCTCGGTTGTGTGATCGCTTTTTTGAGACAAGCGCCTCTATGAAAAGCTCTTGTGATGTGGTTCCATATATGAGTCTGTTATCCTATAAAGGGTAAACCCCTGTTTGGCCTCACTCATGGAGATCACACTCTGTGAGCTCTCTCAAGTCAATGGAAAGATCAACCGTCTTCCATTAGCAAACCAGAGTCCACTCATTTCCCCTTTTCTGTAGAATAACCAG